TGAGCACATGATAAAAGCGAGAGCACACAAGGGAGGGGTGAGGATAGGTAAGACACCTAAAAAACTAGCTAGCATTTGTTGCGCTTAATGCAGAGAAACTAAAGCAGATACCTTAAAGCAACTGAGGCCAATAGGAAAAGGGGACCAGGAACTAGAGAAAAGGTTAGATCAAAAAGAATTAACCTAGAAGGTAACACCCACGCACAGGAAATCAATGTGAGTCAATGCCCTGTATAGCTATCCTTATCTCAACCAGCAAAACCCCTTGTTCCTTCCTATTATTGCTTATACTCTCTCTACAACAAAATTAGAGATAAGGGCAAAATAGTTTCTGCTGGGTATTGGGGGGGGAGCGGGAGGGGGTGGAGTGGGTGGTAAGGGAGGGGGTGGGGGCAGGGGGGAGAAATGAACCAAGCCTTGTATGCACATATGAATAATAAAAGAAAAATGAAAAAAAAAACATTAATTTAAAAAAAAATGTCTTAGGGATAAGCACACTTTAAAAGATGTTTTCTAGCCTTTAATTTTATGACATTGGGTACTTAAATTTGGAGTACATTAGTTATTGAGAACAAAATGTTAGGTGGAGGAGAGGGGTGGTTGAGGCCATTATGAAATGGGAGAATCAGCATTTAAACACTGTAAACATAAAAGAATACTTTCTTCTGCCTGCTGTTTGTAAAAGCTCTCTGGGAAGATCTTTTACGAAGACCAATTTTTTTTAAAATGTAATTTACCTACCTAATATAAGTGTCCTATGACATGTATGTAAACTTCCAAAACTGTTTTGTCTGTGTATTTAGAAAATACACAAGAATCTTTATCAAACTTCAAAATATAAACTTGTGAGCACTAAAAAAAGAGAAAGAGAAAGACTGAGCTCTTCATTAGGGGGAAGTCCTGAGCCCCTTGTAGTCAGTAGTCCCCCGGGCTCCTTGAAGTTTCCAACAGAAATACTATTTTCAATTAATAGGTGGTTCACTTTTCCCTGAGAACCCAAGTCACCAGCTTTGCTGGGAAGAGAATACAGGACTGAGGTGTTTAAGGAAGCCAAGGCTGGAGGATCATGATTAAGAACAGTACATAACAAGACCCTGTCTCAAAAACAAAACAACCAAACTAACCAATAAAAATGAGGCACTCAAACTATATGAGTGGTGAGAAGAAGAAAGAGGGAGTGTTAGAGATTACTGAGTTTGGCACTCCCGTCTGTTTCCTTTCTGCCAAGCTCTTGGAATTGGAAAGAAGATTCAAGGGTGGCAAATAAATCAGCATATGTGATTCTTCCAGCACAGACAGAGCTTCTCAGAGCAACAACCAGCAGGCTAAGTGAGCTAGCACGTTTTCCCTGGAGAAATGTTTGCTGCTGTGCACAGCCTTGGTAATGGTCCAGATAAGTGTAGGGAAGGAGATGTGGGGGGGTGTAGTATAAATTGAAGAGCTTTCAACCATCCAAGCATTATGGTCTTTTCTTCCTTTCCCTTGGAGTAAGGACCTCCAGAGCTTGTCAATATTGGCTTTTGAAGATGAATGATTAGTGTTCTTATCTGTTATAGACAAATACCCACATAAGTCATGTACATACAAAATAATAATACATATATTGCTTTAAGAGATCTTATTGTGAACTTAGCTGTTGGTTACATTTCCTCTGAAGAGTTATCAGTAATATTTTATTGCTATATTATAAGACCCAGGGGCTGCTTTGACATCTCTGATTCTCTCTGGGTCCCAAAGGCCTAGCCATACAGTACCCTGCTCTCATCAGAAGTGTGCATCCCTTTAAAACACCAAACAGGAAAATTTCCTTGATCTGCTAGTTCCTCTATCAGCTGGGTCAACTGTACTCCTTCCTGGTCCTCACCTGGCCCTCTTCACCAGGCTACAAATTATTCACGCAAGCCTCTCACATCCTCCCAGAGGAACCAGGATCAACTGTTCCTCTTGTTACCACAAAGCCTTTCTTTTGTACACTTTGCATGTACATTCTTTTCCTGATTGTAACCACCACATGGCCTGCAAGGCCTGTGGTCTCTTCCTTCTCTGGACTATGAGTATATGTCACTAATAATAAGCTGCTGCCAATTTCTTCTCTCCAGGATCTCTTGCATGTGTTTGATTTTTTCATACTATTTAGTGTGGGAGATCAAAAATCCTTTACCAGTGAGATAAAGAGGGATGACTCAAACAATTATATATCAGTGAAAAAGTACAGCCACCCAAATAATGCTCCTGCATGTTTTCTTGAAATTGAGCTAGAAGACATTTCTATTAGGCTACACAGTGTTTCTTGTAAACATCCACAAACTAAATTCCTCCTTGGATTTAATTCCAGGAAAAAGTTGATCTCACTTACCCTCAAATGTTTACTGATCTCCTGCTTTACATTAGGAATTCTACATGAGTTACTTACTTTCATTCTCAAAAGTAAGAAATCCCTAATAATTCTCAGAGTAGGAGGCTAAGTAACTTGAGCAAGGTCAAGTGGCCAGCAGTGGGTAGAACATGTAATCAAGGTCAGGTCTGGTTATGCCAGAGGCTATATTCTCCTAAAAGGCTGAGCTGCTACCTCAGCTCCTGAGGGAGGTACAGCTGTCAGCATAATGCAAGAGGGTAAGGGGCCAGAAAGAAGTCTGCTTTTGACTTAAAGGGTCATTCCTCTGACTTTGTCTTCCCATGTGAAAAGTGAGAACTTGGAACCATCGGTCACCAAAAGCATTATAACACTTGGCCAGTGTATGGAGGTATGGTGTGGAACCAAGATCAGGTGCATTTTGGGTTTTACAAACTCTGCAATTTCCCCTCCTCCACCAGTTGGGCACAATGCTTTCAACATATGAGTCTTTGGACAGCTTGTTATATCCAAATGAAAATAGTACCTAAAATGCTAGAAATAACAAAAAACTTCAAAGCATAAATAAATTTCTAATGCCCATGGAAACAAGAAGGAATCTTTTGGCAGATCAGAAAACTGTGAGTACTGAATAGCCAGAATCAGGTCATAGAAAGACACCCCTGACCAAAATGCTGGTCAGAGAGGATAGCTATGTAAGGTGGATAGAAATCTGGGTGAAACCTGGATTCAGAGACACATGGACACAGGTTCAGGATGGTGACCACCACAGAGTGACTAAATCAGGCAAAAAAGAAGAAAGATATAGATTAGCCCTTTACTATGAGACCCACCTCCCTGCAATGTGAACAACAAAACTTTAGAAAGTTGATTTGGACTATTTTTAGGTTAGTATTCTAAATTTAGTACTTAGTAAAAATTTGCAAGAATAAAAGCTGCATGGGATAAAAAATGCTTCTGTTGAAGTTAAATTATTTATATCTTGGGTTCACTTGGAAAGTGCTATAAACACTTTTCTTGTAAACTTGTTACAGATGCATCACTGAAATATTCAAATCCAACATCTATATTGTCAAAAAGACAAAATTGGAGAGAGAGAGTAAATGATCAATGATTACTAGGAGCTGGGGGAAACAAGGGAGGGATGAACACGTGTAGCAGAGTGAATTTTTAGGGTAGTGAAACATCACCAAGTTTAACCTCATTTTACACCTTGGACCTTAGGTGATAACTTGTCCTCGGAGATTCACAGGTCATAACAAAAGTGTCACTATGGTATGGGAGGTTGATAATGGCAGAGACTGGGCATGTGCCAAGGCAAGGGAAATGTGGGAAATGCCTGTATCTTCCTGTCACTTTATTTTGAACCTAAAACTATCTAAAAATAAAATCTTAAAAAGTCTGTAATTAAAACACTGCGAGCAATGGAACTGAATACTGAGTTCAGAAACAGATTGGCGTATGTATTGCTATTTATGTAATAGAGGGACATAACAAGTAATCAGTGAAAAGATGGAGTTTTTAATGAACAGAATTAGAAAAATTGAAAGACTACTTGAAAATGAATTAAAACTGGATTAATATTTCCCATTTAGTAGCATAAAGTTAAAAAGATCTACAATCTAAATGTAAAAAATATAGAAATGAAGCCATACACACACTGGAAGAATTCTGTACTCTGGAGAAACAATGACTCAAAGTATCAAAGCAAGAAAGGAGAAACCTCATTAAATTTAACGTGATAAAACTCTGCATGCCAAATTCACTAGAAGTAAAGTCCATGTCAAAATAGATGGCAACCAGAGAGGAGTAAACATTTGCAAATATTTGTATAAACGACAAAGGAATAATTGTGCCAATATGGAAAGAGATTCTTAATAATCAAGGATAAACACATGCCCCCTCCCCCCAAAAAAACATGAACACCTCACAATAAAACAAGTAAGGCAGAAAAAAGGGGAGTGGTTTTAAATATATGAAAAATGTTTAATCTCAAGATATAAAGAAAACACTTCTCATCTATCAAATTGATAAGAACCTTCTGACAATAAACTATTTGCAAGGCTGTGAAGAAAAACAATCAGGCAGAATCAGTAACAGGAAAAGGTAATAAAATCATTATGGAAGGGAATTTGCTGTAACAAGCTAAATTATACATGTTTATTTTAGATCCTATGAATCCCTTTTCTAGGAACCTAGATTAGCAAATACAACTCCATGAGTACAAAACAATGTCCACACTAAGTTTTTGCTATTAAAAGTGTGGACCATGATCCAGCTACATCCTTTGCCTGGGACCTTGGAAGAAATCCTGAGTCTCAGCACCTGTGCCAATGGAATCTGCATTTTAGCAAATGTGATGATGTGTGTGTGAAGCTTGAACTCAAGTTCAACTCATTGTTTAAAATCAAGTAAGACTGGAAACAACCCAAATGCGTGCCAGTGCTACACAATGTGGTACCCTCACCAAATAATAAAATAACAATGAATGAGTTGGACATAAAACAACAAGAAATATGCCTATGTCAAGTTAGAAGAATTTCCAAAATTATTGTGAAGAAAAATATGAAAGGTTCAAAATGATAGAAAAAGTGTTAAGTAGACAAGGAGGGCAGAAAGAAAACACTAGGAGGGATTGTTGGGGTGGGAGAGGGCGGCTGGCACGGGGATGTCTAGGAGCTCGAAGGTGGTGCTGGGCCTCTCGGTGCTGCTGACGGTGGCCACGGTGGCCGGCGTGCATCTGAAGCAGCGGCAGGACCAGCAGAGGCTTCCTGACAGAGTGATCAGAGACATTGAGAGGCAAAATCGGAAAAAAGAAAACATTCGTCTTTTAGGAGAACAGATTATTTTGACTGAGCAACTTGAAGCAGAGAGAGAGAAGATGTTGGAAAAAGGATCTCAAAAAACTTGACTTCAAGTGAATATGAAGTGTCAAGGGAACAGACAGTACTGAATGTGTGTGTTGTATCGTGGAGAATAGTTCACCGAGATCTTCCGCCCCTTCTTTGTCTCTGTCCTTTTAAACTTGATCAAATAAAGGACAGTGGATTCTGTATTCTGAATTCCTTCTTTCAGAATCCCTATGTCTGAATAAAGAATTTGTGGGCAGATGCTCTTCTGAAGAGTTTCTCTCTGTGTGAGTTTGGTAGCAGCCCCTATGAGCTCAGTGTTCCCAGTTTAGGATTGCTCCTGAAGAGCACTTCTGAACTTGTGCGCAGAAGGGATGGATAGTAACACCCATCTGAGCAGTTTGATAAGTCGACAATGACTTATCAAATGATGATGAAGCCACCAGAACACTACCTCAGAAGGGCTGGAAGAGGGTGAAGTGGAGGGAGAGACGCTCCTGATCGTTGAGTCAGAGGATCATCTGTGGACTTATGACCAGAGAGGGGATTCCCTCAACAGCGAGGAAGGAGATGTGTTGTGGATGGAGGAGCAGCTGTCCTACTTCTGTGACAAGTGCCAAAAATGGATACCGGCCAGTCAGCTGAGGGAACAGCTCAGTTACCTTAAGGGTGATAACTTTTTTAGGTTTACTTGTTCGGATTGCTCAGCAGATGGCAAGGAGCAGTATGAGAGACTGAAGCTGACATGGCAGCAGGAAAAAGACTTCGACGTGGTGGAGCACAGCAGCAGGTTGTCTCGGCGTGGGAAGTCCTATGTATTTCCGTTCAGGTGCTCAGGAATTTGGAGAGCCTGGATGGTGGAAACTTGTTCATAACAAGCCCCCAACAATGAAACCTGAAGGAGAGAAGTTGTCTGCTTCAACTTTGAAAGTAAAAGCCCCAAAACCAACATTGGATCCCATCATTACGGTGGAGGGACTTAGAAAACGAGCAAGTCGGAATCCTGTGGAATCTGCCGTGGAATTAAAAGAGAAAAGGTTTCGAACACAGGAAGCCGAAGACATTCGAAGAGCCCAGAAAGAAGCGGCAGGCTTTCTGGACAGGAGCACATCCTCCACCCCTGTGAAATTCATTAGCCGAGGTCGAAGGCCAGACGTGATTCTGGAGAAAGCAGAAGTGATCGACTTCTCGTCCCTGAGCTCCTCGGACCGCAGGCCTCTGACTAGCCCCTCTCCTTCCCCGTCCTTGGACTTCTGTGCCCCCGGGGACCCCGGCCTCCCACTCGGCTCTCCGAAACTGATCTGATTCCCGATGTGATGCCGCCACAAAGCCCTGTTCCGCGATGACGACGAAATGGACCCGGGCATGGAGTCCGTCCGGCCCCCGCCGGCTCGGCAGCTGTGGGACCCGTAGGGGCAGAAAGAAGGTCCGAGCCCCTGAGCAGATCAAGCAGGAGGTGGAGAGCGAGGAGGAGAAGCCGGACAGGATGGACGTGGACAGCGAAGACACAGACTCCAACGCCTCTGTGCACGAAAGGGCTCAGGAGAAGAGGAAGCCTCCCTTGGAGAAGGACACGAAGCCCAAAGGGCCCAAGTATACCCCGGTCAGCATCTACGAGGAGAAGCTGCTGCCCAAGAGGCTGGAAGCCTGCCCGGCGCCGTGGCCATGACGAAGAGGAACTGTGGGCTGCCGCTCTTCCACCTGGACGAGGTGGTGAACGCCGCCTTGCTGCTGGTCGACGGGCTTTACGGTGCCAAGGAAGCAGGAGTGTCCAGGCTTCCCGCCGGGCAAGCCACCTACCGCACCACCTGCCAGGACTTCAGGATCGTCGACCGGTACCAGACTGCCTTGCCATCCCGGAAAAGATTTCGGCATCAGACCACCAAATTTTTGTATCGTTTGGTGGGATCAGAAGATATGGTTGTAGACCAAAGTATTGTCAGCCCTTATACTTCTCGTATCTTCAAGCCTTTCCTCAGGCGTGATTATGAGACAAAGCCACCCAAACTACAGCTCCTGTCACAGATTCCTTCCCACCTGCACAGGAGTGACCCACACTGGACACCTGAGCCTGACGCACCTCTTGACTACTGCTATGTCCGACCAAATCACATCCCAACGATCAACTCTATGTGTCAGGAGTTTTTCTGGCCTGGCATTGATCTGTCTGAGTGCCTGCAGTATCCAGACTTCAGTATTGTTGTCCTGTATAAAAAAAGTCATCATTGCCTTTGGCTTCATGGTTCCTTATGTGAAATACAACGAGGCCTACATTTCATTTCTGTTTGTCCATCCTGAATGGAGAAGAGCAGGGATTGCAACTTTCATGATCTATCACCTGATTCAGACCTGCATGGGCAAGGATGTGACCTTTCACATCTCAGCAAGCAACCCTGCTATGCTGCTATACCAGAAGTTTGGATTCAAGACTGAAGAGTGTGTTTTAGATTTTTATGATAAGTATTACCCATTGGAGAGTACAGAGTGTAAACATGCATTCTTTCTGAGGCTCCGCCACTGATATGAACATAGCTCCTCATGGAGAACTGCGTGTGCTGTCCAAGAACAGTTGGAGACCTGTGGGCAGTTACTCATCTCACTGTGGACTCTGATCTTCTTTGTGGTTAGAGGTCGTAGTGGTGGGCAATGATTGAGTGGTGGGCACAGTTGATTTCCTATCCTTTCTGGAGTGGCCTTTGACCAACGTCTTGGTCTCCACCACTGAATAAAACTGAATGATGCTGCTATTCTCCTTCCACCTGACAGCGTGTCAGAGCAAAAGACCTTCTAAACTGATATTCTTGGTAAGAGAGAGTCTGTCTGTCCTAACTTTATGGACAAGAAGACACAGTGTCGAAGTGGCATTGTGCTGTCCTGGGAGGAGAATTATGCGATGATTACAGAAAAGGATTCCAGTGCTGTTCCCAGCCCAGGGCCTGCTATCACTGAATCCAGGACAACTTCTGGGACACTGAAGTTCTGTTGTCTCTTTGTGACAGTCAGAAAAAATAAACTTAGTGTCCGTGTCTAAAAAATAAATAAATAAATAAAAAGAAAACACTAGGAGGGTGAGATGAGTAAAGTTGGGAGGGAAAAGATTGGAGAGAAGAGGAAATGAGATATCTCTGAGCATTCCTCCATATTTTACTACTTTCAAAAAAATTAAAGGAAAAACCCAACTGGCACCCAGCGAGTAGAGGCCAGAGATGCTGCTGCACATTCAGTAAAGTCTGGGAGCCTCCAGGAGTTATGTGGTTTAAAACAGTGATGCTGAGAAAGGTGGGCTCAGGGTAGGGATTTCAAGTGTCCTAAGATGAACTTTCCAGTTTTAAAAGTTCAGTTAGCCTTCTCCTCACTTCCAGAGGGATTGCTCCAAGTGGCAGACACGGTTTTCATATTGGCTTGTCAGTTCAGCACCCTAGGGTTGAATTTCTATTCCTCCATAGTCCTGTGGACCATTCATTTTAAATTTCTCTTCTTCAGTGTACTGCTTTTCTGGGAGTACTAGGAACTGGCACTGTTTTGTCATGAAGTCCTGATTCAATTCTCTGCAAAGATACTTGAACTTGGGGTTTGAAAGGGGAGTATAATCGCTTACCCCACATCAGGGCCTTTTCTCACTTCCCCAAGAATCGCACAGCTGGAAACCTTGCTGTCTTCTGGACCAGCCCAGCAGCTGCAGGACTGCGCCCTCCCAGCCCCACTAATATCAGACACCAGCTCTGCTGCTGGAGCTCCATCCTCACAGCACTCACTCACAACTTGAGGTGTGTATCTGGCAGAGCTGCTTCTACGGGGACTTTAGGGTATTAGCCCCAGTGTGTTGGGAAAGTGGGGAAACTTGCAAAAGTGTTTCCTGAGGGACCCAGGTTCCCCTGGGATCCTTCACTCTGTCTTGGGTTGAAGGTCTAGATGGGAAAGTGGCCGCGTGGGGACTAGGGAGCGGTGGGATGAGGAAACAGGTGCAGAAGGTGATCCCTATCTCCCAGGTACTTGTGGCAGGAACCACTGTGCTCCCAGGCCCTCCAGCACTGGAGATGGAGCGCCCCCACCTGGCACCCTGGAGGAGGCAGAGACTTAGAAGATGGATAGAGGCTGCACTGAGTGCCCAGGGCTGCAGTTCTGAGTGGCCTTGCCACAGCTAACGCTGCAGGGAGCACAGCTTTGACTCCTCAAGGCCATCTGAAGGCCCAGAGAGATTTGTGGGTCTCAAAGGCAGTTAACCTAGGCACCCCCAATTGCCTTTTGAAAGAATACCTCAGGGGGTTCGAGGTCTGTCTTGACCTGAGATTGACCTTGACCATTTCTAAGCACTTTCCAGCTCGTTCAGAGTGGCCAAGATAAATTTCAGGAACTCTTCAGATCTTGTGATTATCTTAATTTTATTAAAAATACTGAAGGCAATTACTGAAGACTTCTTATCCTGAAGCTAAGTGGAGATGATGGACAATTAATCATATTTGGGTTTTGTTATGCTAGACAAATTCAGCACTTATGTTAGTTTCTTCTCTACTGCTATGTCACACCAACTCAGTTTTGGACAAAAGAAGTTGTGGAACATTAGTATGTTATTGCTAGGGAAAGCAGGTCAGGTCCCAGGACTTTGGTTTCTGGAACCTGATTGTGCCTAATGACCAAAGTGTGACCCAAAACGGTCTTCCCTTTGTGGTTTGCAGGACTGAGGTGATGTGATGCAAAAGTGACATTAGTACTAAGTACAACGGGCTTCTTGTATCCTGGGGCTCAGTAACGTGCACTGTGATTAACAAGAAATTAAGGTAGGAGTCAAACAGCACATGGATTTCACCAGATTTCTGGAGAAGTGGGTGGAGGAGAGCCTGGAGGAAGATCCTCCAGCTGCCCATGGAGGCGAGAGACCTCATGAGGAGTGAAAGGCTCAACATCGGAGGAAGAAGGTGCCTGGACAAGCAGGGCAGAAACACAGGCAGGGAGGGAAACAGGGGCCTTGGTTTACAGTTCCATCACTGGCCATCACATTGGCTAGTTACCCAGTCCTGGCAATCAAACAACCACCCTCCATTCCCTCCCCAGCATGAGCTCGGTGTCTCATTGCTTCAGGATCTAATTCAATATGGAATTCAGGGACCCACAGTTACCAGGGGTGGAAGAAGACAGATTCAGAAGTTAAAGATTAAGTGCAGTCCCCTGCCACCTTCCTGTTCCTGACCCTGCCTATTTCCAGGAAACTCAACAGTCATACCAGAAATTTCCTCTCTGGAAAATTCCTTTGGGCACTGTTCCTCATGAAATCACATTCTAGGGTCTCATTCTTTCCATCAACACAAGAGAGTAAGCTATGAAGCCGAAAACACAGTGGGCTTCAAAACGAAGAGCATCGGCACCGGGCTCTCTCAGCTGAGACAGCTGTGCAGCACCCCAAAGAGCAATGGATTCACAAAAGCATGGACTCAATAAGAGACTGTCAACAGTAGTTGGTGCTAACACAACCGATCAGGAAAGAGAAGAGAATACACTGGCTTCCAGTGGAAAGCCTCTAAATGCACGTTTGTCTTGGAAAAGGAAGGCGAATACAGTCTTAAGTTCCTGTCTATGGCACAGCATGGTACATTTGGAACTGAAATGGTCTAGCGAGCTTTGTCAGTAGCATAGCCCAATAACGGCAGCATTATTTTTGGTCAGTGCCAACATTCATATATTCTGTAAATATTCAGATTTTGTATTTTCAAACTAACTCCCTTTTTTGCTTCTACAAGGAGTAGAAGTGATGTCATTTTTGAGTTGGAAAAAAAAATCAAATGGGTAAGATCTTTTGCCAAACAAGTATGTTTAGTACAGAGAACACAGGTAAGTTAAACAACATAAAGAGACCCACACTAGTCACATTGGAACAGCTTGAGTGTCAAGAAATAAACACTTGTCAGTTGAAATACGTTGTACAAAGCTATGGTTATTATATATAACAATTATATATAATTTTATTCCTACACTTAATTTTGTATGTTCCCATGGCATACCTGTGATTTTTTAACACTTTCATTAATATCCAATCATGTATGTGACAGAATCTAACTAATCTAACCAGTTCCCTGAAGAGATGTAATGATTTTCTGTGTATTCAACTTTACACTCACAGTTTTATCCATTCTTGTGTCTTTCTTTCAGTGATATAGTTTGAAATGGAGTATTTCTTTAGAATGTTCAAGTATTTCATTTTCTTTTCCTCCTCTATCTCTGCTCTTCCTCTTTCTTTTCCTTCTTCCATTTTTGCTTCCTTTGAGAAAGTGTAGTCATATATTATACTTTGGAAATATGGGTGTCTCAATTTACAACATCAAATGTAGAGTATAAGAAAGGAATGCCTACTTTACCAGTATTAGAAAAGAATAGTTTTTGTACTTAGGCATTTCATGTTTTAAAAGAGATCTTGACTTGCTCGCTGCCACTCCTTTCTCTTTGGAAGATGATGTGAAGACAGAAGCAAAGTTTGTAGGGAAGCCAAGCATTGCTGCATTTCTACAAGGCAAGAAAAGCTACAGATTGCTGGCAATCTACAGAAGCTGGGACACAGGCAGGGATGCCCTCTCTCTCAGTGCCTCCAGAAGGAGCCAGTTCTGCAAACACACTGATTTTAAATTTCTAGCTTCCTGAATGTGAGAGAAATCTCTGGTTTAAACCATTCATTTTGTGATAATTCATCATGATAGACCTCAAAAATGAATATGCCATGATAAAAAGTTAGGTAGTAAATGCTTCTGTGACAGCAGAAAGTTCTGGCTATTGTAGGATTGGACAAGGAAGATGTCTGGGCCTGGGTGAAGTAGGAGATTCTTAGAAACATGGAATGACTTGTGCTTTGCTCTGAAGAGAATTGAAGGTCAAAAGTAAATTGAATGTAAGCATTTGATATATCTTTGTGGGGTTCAATTCATCATCTCTTAAGATTTCAGAATGGGATCCTCTCTTCAACATTATAAAAATATTCAATCACTTTGATTGTGTAACTTTGTGATTTAGTTTATTATACTGAAGTATTTTCAAATAATAATGTACAATCCCTTACAAAAAACCAAGCAATACATGATGTAAGTAAAGTTAAATAAATTAATTTCTATTTCTACCCCTAATAAGATAGCAGCCAGGTGTATATTCTTCCACACATACTCTATGCTTACAAACACGTAGTCAGATAAGTGCCCATTCTGTTCCTTTTGAAAAAATGGGATTATATTAAATACATTACAAGTCATTTTTCCATTTTAATATTAAAATCATGCAATATAAACTTGAGGGCTCCACCAAAATATTTAGTTTTTTGTATGTACCTATTTACTCACAGAATGAAATGATCAACCATAACTATAGATAGAGTGAATATTTAAGAGGCATGTGAACATATTTATGCATTTCAGTCTTAAAATCAATTCTTTCAGATTTAGCATCATGGATTCTCTGACAGAAGCTAATGGCAACTTTGGCTTGAACCTTTTGAAAAATCTGGGTGGAAGCAACTTGGAAAACATATTTTTTTCTCCCTTGAGCATCTCCTTGGCCTTGGCAATGGTCTACAAGAGGGCGAAGGGAAGCACAGCTGCCCAGATGGCCCAGGTACCTCAAGCTGTCTCACAAACAATACATGTTGCACTGAATTTATACATTGAGATGATCTTCTGCATTTCAAATCCCAAAGTAATAGTAGCATTCACGTAACTCTGCTAGTGTCACAGGAGTGAGGATGGGGAGTTGTCCGGATGGAACATGGTACCACTGCCTGGCCATCCTGGGATGTCAGGACTCACTCGTGGATGCTACAGCAGGCAGCTGGCTGGAAGGTGCAAGAAGGCCTCATGCATATGTCTTCACCCTTGTGCTAAAGACAAGAAAGTCTTACCTTTCTTCTAAGACCCTTCCTTGTGCCCTTTTCAAGGTCAGCATGGACGTCCTTATGGGATGTTAGCTGAGTCATAAGAGAATGAAGTGAAGCTGCTTGGTGTTTTAAGGACTGAGCTCAGATGAGTGTAGTTTTTTCTGCATTTTTTTCCTCAGACACTGACAGACATCAGACAGTTCCAAGATGAAGGCGGAGAGACTCCATTCTTTTGTTGTTATCATTTTTCAAATTGTTTTATGATACAGTATCTCAACCTCCTGTGTCAGCCTCCCTCGTGCTGGCATTGTAGGTATGTGCCACCATGCCCGTGAGGCACTATCTTATGTATTAGGAGGACCATGTGTATGCAGAGGTGAGACTTACTGTTGGCGCCCAAGTTTGCAGGCAAACTGCCACAAATAGCGAGCATTAATTACCTGAGGCATTTTGTTGAGGTTAGACAAAAGCATTCTCTCTCATACCGATGCTCAGAGCACTCTGGTTTATTTTGGGAAGCATTTCAGAGGGTCGTTAGAGGGGTTTTAAGTAGGCAGACTAAACTGTTATGATTTGGATTTGCCCTTTCAAATGTAGGGCACCAATGCTAAGATGTTAGGAGGTGGACTCCTTTAGAAGAGAAAGGCAATGAGGACTTCTCCTCCATACGTGGATTCACAGTCTTCATGGAGGGCTTGGTGAGCTTGCCCTTCTGCCTTCCACCAGGTGAAGACACAGCATTCCTCACTTTTGGAGGCTGTAGCCTCCTTCAGGCAGTTGAATCTGAAAACATCTTGATCTTGTATCTCCCAGCCTCCTGAACTCTGACGAATGTCTGTTCTTTATAGATGAATCAGTCTCAGGTATCCTAAAGCAGCAAAATTTAGATTGTGGCAGTGGCTTTCAGGTGGCTTGTCACCTTGAATTAGACGAATCATCTTCAAGCAGTAGTAGAATGTACAGAACTCTTAGTGCTGAGTTCAGTGTGTACCCATTTCTTTGTAAAGTCACAGAATGCTAAAAATGTATTGTTATTCCTTTCTCTCTCTTTCTTTTTTATTTCAGGCACTTTCTTTTAAGACAGACAGAAGCGAAGATGAGGCTATTTACCATGGTTCCCAGTCACTTCTTGCTGAAGTGAACAGAACTGGTACTCAGCACTTGGTTAGAACCGCCAAGGCTCTTTGGAGAAAAGTCTTATGAGCTCCTCGTGGTAAGTCACACGTGCTTCTCTCTAAGGAAACAGACGGCAATGTGTTGAGCAATGGCGGCAAGCATTCTTACATGGGGGTCTGCTCCCGGGTCTGCCTTTCAAGAGCCTCAAGGACTTCTGTTCTTTCAGTTTTCATGTCTGTCGAAAGGATTGTATCACACACTGTCCTGAGTTTTCTGAAATGTAAAGGAAACGGTACTAAAATAACTTACACAGACTAATGCAATTGGATCTGAATCATCTGAAAAGGGGAGTCGAAATGAATATTTCTAGCCATGGCTTTGCAGGTATTGATGATTATTTTGTGAGATTGATTGATTATTTAAATGTGTTTTTACATATTTAAACATTTCTATTGGTTTTTCAAGCACTGGAAATCTTTCTATATATATATCTTGACTGATTAAACTGCGTATATTTTTGACAATGCTTTCATGACTTTTTTTGTTTTAAAAAGTCAACTTAAATAAGATCTTGTTATATGTAAATGAAACTAAGTAGACAACAGTCCTCATCAACCTTCTTCCTGTCCCATAATTCCTGTTGCCAATGGAAGAGTTTTTATGGATTTGTTTTGGATCCTCCTTCCATATAGAAGTTTTGATTTGTGGGGTTTTCTGTAATAATCACATTGTATCATATGGATTACTTCGTAATTTGTTTCTTTTCACAATACATCTTAACTTCTATCCCTCTAGTTTATGCGGATCTATACCACTCTTTTTTATCAACGTCTGCTATTCCTAAGTACGGATGTACTATAATGTGACTGACCCTCCCTACTGATGAGCGTTTAGGGTCGTTTCTAACCTGGGGCATTAGAGAACGTTATGAAGAAAACTTATAAAATCATGATTTTCAAATCTTTTTGAGTAAATATCCACTAGTACAATACTGCATCATAGATCAAGGGTATTCTAAGGTTTGTAGGAAACTGCAGGTGTCTTCAAGGTGTGCATTCTTACAAGCAATGAGTAAGAGTTCCTGTTGCTCCACATTTTCACCAGCATGGTGTTGTTAGTGAGTGTCACTTTCATTTAGTTGAAAGCATTTTGAAATGTCTCTTGGTATTTCTTCTTTGACTCATTCCTTGTTTAGAAGTGTGTTGTTTAATCTCCAAGGGTTTAGGGATTTTTTTTTAGCTAACTTTTCTTGTTGATTCTAGTTGGTTTTAGAGAAGACATTACTTGATTTTTCTTATTTTAGATTATTACTGTGTATTTTTAGGCCCAGAATATGGTCTCTCTGGGTGAACATTACAGATGAGCAACTGGATAAAATAATCAAAGGTGCCAATTATATCCAATTAGTCCATAGTGTTTTATGTCAATTTCATCCTCGCTGATGAAACTGTCCATTTCCCATACAGGGATGTTAAGTTTCCAATTATAATAGTGGATTCATCTATTTGCTTCACCATTGTGTCAGCTTTTGCCTCCTGTATTTGATGGTCTTTTATTAGGTGCATATTTCTTAAATATTGCTGTTTTTTGGAGAACTCTCAACATCTTTTGAGTAATCTCATTGATGTTCTACTACTCTTTCAACGATCAAGAGTTCCTACAAACCATTTAGTATTCATACCATTATTTTAATTATAAAATAAAGTGTACAAGCTAATATCAGGTATGGCTGAAAAGAACTGGGGCTTTAAGTTAATTCCTTATATTTTATTATAATTTGCATATTGTAAATCATGAATTACTGATTTTCTGATATGGCACAAAGAAACATAAGTTATTATTGTTAATTACTTTTACTGCTGGGAAATCATGTTTCTGTGTCTATCCTGGTGTTTTACAGATTCCTGCTGCAAATTCTACCCAGCCAACATGGAACAGCTTGACTTTGTCAATGAAGCAGAGACATCAGAAAATATATAAATGCCTGGGCTGCTGACAAGACTGAAGGTGAAAATAGTCATGTACTCAATTTATCAGACTATCAAATAGCAAATATCAAAAGGAGTTATTTCTTTCTCTAACTGAGCTTTAAAAAGTATGTTTCTCAAAATAAAAATGCCTACACAGAGAGTTTTTCTCTAGCTTTATGCTTGTGAGGCTTCTTTTCTTTTCTTTTCTTTTTTTTTTGCTGTAGAAGGGACTGAACCAGGGCCTAACACGTGCTATGCAAGCACTCACTCTACTACTTGAGCCATGCCACAGACCTATCCTTGCTCCAATTAATGTGTGATGTTCCTCAGGACTCAGTACATGTGCTCCTTAAAATTATTCTTAATTGTTTTTGTTATTAATATTAGTTAGTTTTTCTTTTTAACATAGTATAAAATTAGAAATTAAGGGATAATACTTGTCTTTCTGGTATTCTCCAAGTTCAATGGCTTATCTATACAATGCTGGAGGATTCTTTGCCAAATGCTTTGTAAACTGAAATTCTTTTTTTTTTTTTCAGTATATAAAGTAGGATTTATTGGAGAGAAAGGAAAGGCTACAGCTAAGGTACTGCAGCGGAGCCCGGGAGCCAGTGGCTCCTGAAATTCTTAATTTAAGCTGATTTTGCACAAGTATAACTTCTCACCTTTTCGGGGCAATCCTTTAACTTACTTCCTTTAAGTCATAGATACCAATCATTCCTTTCTACCTAACATGTTATCAGGTAATCCTCCATCTGTTAATATCTTCTTGTTTGCTCAATACATTTTATTTTTTGTGGTCCTGGGGTTTGAACTTGCAAAGCAGGCACACTACCACTTAAGCCATTCTTCCAGCCCCTTGGCTTTTAGGTTACTTTTTTAGTTAGGGTCTCACTTTTTTCCTCCAGCCAACTTTTGACCTCAGTTGTGCTAACTATGCTTAAGGCATAGATGGAATTACAGGCATGAACACTGCACCCAGCCCTTGTGCTTTATTTTTGTGGTGGTGTTCATACTGTTGTTGTAAGGACAAGCATCCTATACCCAAGGACATGGACGTGGACATCTCTGTCCATGTCCCAGAATGGACATCACGAATTTCCTTCATCTTGCCTACTCAGTGAGAGTAATTGATCTGAAGAATCTTCCTGGTACATGCATCAGCAAGCACTTCTAATTAAAGGCATCTTTAATTCTTCTTTACAGGTAAAATTGATTCATTGACGAAGCTGGTTCTTATGAATGCCATCTACTTCAAAGGGAGTTGGGATAATCAGTTTGAGAAACATCGGACCAAGGAAATGCCCTTTAAAACCAGCATGGTGAGTGTCTGGCACTACCAATGGCAGTTCTTGGTTCCTGTCCTGATATTGTCTATAGAACATGTGAGAAGCATCACCTCAGGAGCATGGATTCACATGGGCTGTGCCAGCACTGCAGCTGGACTCCCTGCCAAGGCTTGGCGCCTTTCTCTTGCCCTTTACCACTTTTTTTTCTTACTCTCTTTCTCTCCTTCTTTTGTGATATTGGGGATGGAACTAGGGCCTCTTGCTTGTTAGGCAGGCACCGGATCACTTGAATCACACCCTAGATTTCTCTTTTCATCTTTTTTTTTTTTTAACCTCATTAAAGGTGGGTACAACTCCTGGGCCTCTTCCCCAGCCAAATAAATTATTTTGTGTACCATCTGGATCACAAATCTGACCTTATAGTCTTCAGTTGTTGAATGAAGTGTCTATTTTACCACTCTTACTATTACTCTTTGAAGGCAGAGAATTCTATCTTATAAGTGCCTAGCACATCTGCTCAATAAACACTGAGTCAATGATACTCAGTCTTCTCTGTTAATAAAGATTAATAGGCACTATGTTTGTTTAAAACGAAGGTAAAGAGAGGGAGGCCTACAAAAGATAGTTTAGGTCCCTCCAACTTTGAACATATTATTTGCTAAAGGTGTATCTTTCTCTGGAATGTGTCTAATCCTTTCTTTTTTGTTTAACTCTAGAGACATTTTTTTTTTGTTTTTTTGACAGTACTGGGATTTGAACTCCAGGCCCCATGCTTGCTAGGCAGATGCTCTATCACTTGAGTTACACATCAAGACATTTTGGCTTTAGTTAGTTTTTAGCTAAGGTCTTGCACTTTCTCCCAAGGTTGGCCTTGGACCTCGATCCTCCTACATATGCCTCCCAAGTAACTCAGATTACAATTATTCACTACAATACCTGGCCCTATCTGAAGAGATTTTTGAAATATATGGGATTATACATTGATTAAGTTTAGTTTTAGTCACTCACTATTGGTTAAGTCTTCCAGGCTGACTTGAAGTTAAAACTTTAGTTTGTCAAGAGATCTATTTCTTTCTAGCTTTATTGAGAAATAAAACTATCCCACTTTCTCCTGGAAAATATTTCTTTCATTGAGATTTCTTTACAAGGTGTGTGCTCCATTTTCATTCAACTCTAAGTAACAGGAAACCCATCACAAAGTATTGACACTCTTGAAGTTCATGCCCCATATCAGAAAGTTAGGAATGGTCTCTGGAGTTATCAGAGGCCAGGTCTAACATGGGATGTAGGTGAGACTTTCTGAGCACCAGCTCTCTTCCTTTGCTCTCATTGTTAGCACCTAACATTCTTACTCATGATCACAAGATGGTTCAGCCATGACATATGCAATTCAGGCAAGGGGAAGGGGAAGGACACCACTTAGTAGGTAAAGGGATAAGAAAGTGCATTTATGGAGAAGCAAATGACTTTTTGGAAAGATATATAGGCCGTTCAACAATGGGGGGTGTAATATTCTTGCGACAATGTCTGGATTAGTGTGGTGCAGACTTCTCAATTCTGAGAAAAGGTGCATAGAGTTGCTTCTGAAGAGGGGAATTATGACAACTGAGTTATTTTTAGTTCATTTGGGAGGCTCTGCATTGGAGCCAATATGACATTTGAAGGTCTTGAATGCTTCTGTCAAAATAATTGTAATGCCTTTTTGAGTAACACATCCTGATTCCCGTAAAGATCATCAAGAGAAAAAAATTTAGAACTGATCCCTGGGCCTTTCAGCATTGTGACACTGAGGCAATGAGATGAGTCAGTAAAGGAAGGTCAATGTGGTGTTCAAGAGTGGAAGGGAAAAAAGTGATCCAGGGGCAGGAAGTGTTTGGCTGTGTTGAATGTGCCATGTGTCAACTAGGTCATGTCACAATTTAATGGTTACATAATTCCTTTACAGACTGGAAAGAGACCTATGCAAATGATGTTTCAGAAATCTTCTTTTAAAATGACCTATGTCAAAGAAATATTCACCAGTGTTCTCCTGCTTCCCTGTGTTGGAGGGGAGCTGAATATGGTCATCACACTTCCAGATGAAAACACTGACTTGAAAATGGTAATGAGTGTGCTAAGTTTACATTGTATCATATTAGAGGTTCTGACAATCCCAATAGAAGAGAAGTTAAGAAAATTTTCATGTACTACCATTTTCTTAATACATTTGGCCACATGAATATTTCCAGTCCTTTAGTTTGATCCGATATGATGGTGCTCTGTATTTGAACCCACTTCAGAAAATAATCTTATCCTTGGCTCAGGATGGGACCAAACCAGAGGCCTACTTTAAAATTTAGTAATTTTTCCTCTTAGACTGTGCCTTCCAGTGAAAAATAATGGTAATATCTTTCTATGATAGTCAGTTTTCTGTTACTGTGGCAAACAACAGAAAAAAGGAAGAAAGGTTTGTTCTGTGTTATGATTCCAGGAGATTCAGTTCATGGTCACTTATTTCATCACTTTGGAACTAAGGAGAAACTGAACATCATAGCAGATAGTAGATGGGTGGAACAAATCTGCTTTGTTTATGGTGGTATGAAAAGAGGGAGGGAGAGGGGAAAGGGAAGACCAAACATATTCCCAAGAGTTTGCCCCAAATACCACTTTTTTCAACTAAGTCCTATCTCCTCATTTTCCACCACCTCCCTATTGGGATTGCCATGAAATTATGAATCCACCAATGGGATTATCCATTGATGTCATTAGACTGTTCATGATCTAATTACCTTCCAAAAGTTCATCAGCTGGCAACCAAGACTTTACCATAAGGCCTTTGGAAGACTTTTTTTTTTAATTTGTTTATTCCTCCTCCCTGTCCCTACCCATATCCTCTCCCTCCCACTGTCCTGGGAGACTTTTTAAATCCAAAACTTCATATTATGATTAAAGGAGATGACATAAATCATCATGCATTTTTTTTCCAATGCACAGGGTACACTTTTGACATATGTTAGTACTCTCTTCTTCCACATTGCCAAAATTATGACTTTGTCCTTAGGAAAACAATTTTAGATTGCAAACTTCTGTGATTCTTTGACTCTCCTGGGGATGTCACTAAAATTAGGTTCTGATCTAGTTGTCCTGGGTCAGTGCCTGACATTACATTTGTACTTAGCTGGTAGGTGATGCTGAGGCTGTAGCCCATGAACCATTCTCTGAAGAGCAAGTAGCAGAGAATCAGTGAAGTCTTTCAGAAGATCATTGATTGGCTTTTTTCAGAAAATCAATTCCTACAGCTAAATGGATGCTTGGGAAGAAGGGAGAATGGAGATTGGTCAGAATGGAGGCTGTTATGGGCTTTCAAGAAGAAAGTCAGTGGCGATGGAAACAGAGGAAAGGGCAGACTGTAGATATTTTGGGATTTAAGGAAGCAAAGAATTGTGAGGGATTTATTGGGAGGAAGTATAGGTAAAAGAGAAATTCTGCCTTGATGTGCTTCCAGTGAGATAGAACCAACCCACAAATGCAGTCCAAGCTCTGCCTTGGTGACACATTTCTGACTTAGAAAGGGCTTTTTATAGGTTTCTGGAAAGAAGAGTCAAGGCATAGAAATGTAAAATCATTACCAAGTTTAATAGCTCAATACTACTGTTCTCTTTTCCATATGTGTGCTGTCAAGTCTGGTAGTCACAAATAGACCCCATGACTGTATACATTCAAATTAAGTAAAATTAAATATTCTTCTCTTCTTTTGTACTTCTCACATTTTTAGTGCTGAAGAGCCACATTTGGCTAGCAGCTACTCTACTGTAAAGCATAGGTGCAAAGCATAAACACCAGAGAAGAAAGCTGGATTGGACACTACTCCAGACCTTTGCAAACTTCAATTCTCTCTTTCTAGGTGGAAGAAAACCTCTTTTATGGGAAGATGCACAAAACAGAAGTGGAAGTTTTTCTCCCTAGATTTAAAATGGAAGAAAATTATGACGTGCAATATGTGCTAATAGATTTGGGCATGGTACATGCCTTTGAACAAGCCAGGGCTGACTTCTCTGGTGTATCGTCTAAGAAAGAGCTATATTTTTCCAAGGTCATACTCAAGCCCTTTGTGGAGGTGACTGAGAAAGGTACAGAAGCAACATCTGCCATAACTGTCACAATGAAATTTTGTCCATTAAGCCCCCAAATCCCCCTCTCCACATTCTGTGCTAACCATCCCTTCCTTTTCTTTATCCAGAACAGCAAAACCAATGATACTCTCTTCTATAGGAGATTGTACTTTTAATAAAGAAAGAACTTTTCGTGATGCATAGAGCTCTTTACTTTCTGTTCTGATCTTCTTTTGCTATGACAGCTTACAATGTGCCTACAACCCAAACTGACCTTATCAATGTAGAGGTAGAAAATCAGACATTAGAAGTTCAGTTTAGAATTTCCTTGTGTGTATGTATCTTTCCATGAAAATGTTTCCTAAGGTTTGAAATTGCTATCTTTCAAGGGTCTTGTGGTCATTTTGGCAGTGGTGGTACCAGCCACTTAGTAAACCTCTCTACCTGGTTCTAGATGTGCCATGTCCCTGACACCCACACACATGGATTTCAACTCTCAAAGCTACTTCCTGTCTTTGCTTTGTAGAGTCTGGCCCCTCACCATCTTCTGAGTTTCTCTTCTCACAGGTATAAGATCATAGATATTCTTTTCCTCTCTGCTCTGATCTTTTGCATTAACTTCTTGACCCACTTTTAATGAGAGAGTACAAAGTGAACTGGAGAACCGGGAGGAGGTGTGGGGAGCATGGGAGCATGCTTTAGAAGCTGACAGAGATCACCTCCATTCCCAAGCTTCCTGCCAATACTTAGAAGCCAGCAGAGCAGGGAACTCAGATCAGTGAAAAATCAGTCCAATTTTCCTCATGTGTTTTTATTTTCATTGCCCTTGGGTTCATGTGAACTTTTGGGCCACATGCTTACTGAAATATCCAACTATCCCCTTTCTCTGAAATTTTAAAAATTGCTATCTGGTGGCAGAGAAGGCTAGATATGGTCTCTTCACAGTAATGTGGTTTAGACAGCCTCGTAAGTAAACATCAGAGGTCAATACTTTCAAGTATTAAAAACTAAAGCTTGGCTTTCTGTGGTCATTTGTGCTACTTCCATGAAATACAACTGCCGTGTTCAGCAATGGGGACCACATTGACAGGTTAGGTGAAAGAGAAAGGCTGAGCTCTTTCCTATGGGGCATCATTGATCCCTTAGCAGGTTGTAGGGCCTTTGCCATGTTGAACTTCACTGACACAATTCTATTTTGATTCTTATCTGGTTCACTTTTCATTTGATACCCAAGTCACCAATTTGGCTTCTCTGGAGAGAATGGGTTGAGGCATGACATTCACTGAGGACTAAGTCTGGAGAAAAATAAGTTGTAGGGCAGCCTGAACTACATAGCAAGAAACACAGAGAATACAACAAAGAAATTGAAGAGAAAAGAGAGAGCAGTAGAAGTTGCTGGGTTTGTCACTCATCCTTCTTCCTTTTCTGCCAAGCACTTAGATCTGTTAAGAAGACCCAAGGGTACAAAAAATTAGCATGTGTGATTCTTTCAGTACACACTCTGAAAGCTATAACCAATGACAGCTGTCATCCACTTGTTCCAGAACAAAGGTGTGCTTCTGTGCCCAAACTTGCTGATAGTACAGTTAAGTTCAGGGTAGAAGGTGGATGGATGGAGAGAGTAAATGGAAGAGGCTTCAACCTCCAAGAATTTAAGTGTTTTTCTTCCTTTTCTCTAGAATAAGGGCCTTCAGAAATATCATTAGTGAATTATGAAGTTGAATGATTTGTGTTCTTATCATTCACAAGTGTATACTGATCTCCTGATTTGCATTAGGTATTTTATGTAAGTTACTTTATCTCCAGCAACATGAAATCCCTGATGATCCTGAGGCTCAGGAGGTTAAATTGAACAAGTTCTAATGGCTAGCAGATAGAACCTGAGATTAAAGGTAATACTAGAGACTGGATTCTCATGAAGGGGCTGAGCTGCTACGTCATCTCCTAAGTGAAGGGCAGCTGTGAGCATGGTTAGAGAAAGGACCAGAAAGAAGTCTCACTTCTCAGGCTTTGTCCTCTCTTATGAATACTGAGTCTTGAAATCTCCCATCACTAAAAATACATAATACCGCACCTGTGCATGGAGGTGCTGGAGTATTGGAGCCATGATCAGGCACATTTGGCTGTATAAACTGTACAAGGTCACTCTTCCCTGCAGAGTCCACCAGCTTGGGACTAAACCTTCCACACATGAATCTTTCAGGGACACTTCATATCCAACCTATAACATCATCCAAAACTCTTAAATAAATAGAAAAAAAACCCTTAAAACATAATCCCCCTGGAAACAAGGAATCTTTGGTAGAGCAGACAACTCTCAGGGCTAAAGAATAGAAAGCCAGAATCAGATCAAAGAAAGACACCACTGAGTGCTGGTCAGAGATTGCTGCTAAGAAAAGTGGACATAGCTTTTGGAATCCTGGGCAAAACTTGACTACAAAAATACAGGATGGACCCTTCTGGCAATCCACCACAGGGTTACTGGTAAAGGGAACAAAGAAGGATGATATGACTTAACCCTTGAATATGAATATGAACCCTTGAATATCACCTTCCCCCAAAGTGAATAGCAACACTTTGCAAAATTTATTTGGGCTACTTTTAGATTACTTACCTAAATTGAATAGTAAGTAAAAGTTAGGAAGCAGTGAATTTGCATTGGATTAAAAAACCACTTTGGTCGAAATTATTTATATCTTGGGTTCATTATGGAAGGTGTTGTAAAAACTTGTAACTGTTACTATGGATCAATGAAATATTCAAAATCAACATTTCACATTGTGGAAAATGAAAACATTACATACAGTAAAAAGTCAGTGGTTAATAGATCCACTAAGTATAGCAGAGAGGGTTTTACAGCAGTGAAACATCACCAAGCTTAACCCTATTGTACGCTATGGACCTTAGGTGATAAATCATCAGTGCATATTCACCGATTGAACAAAATTGCCACTCTGCTGTGAGATATTGATAAATGGGGGAAGCTGCACCTGTGCCAGAGAAAGGAATATGTGAGAAATGTCTGTATTTTTCTCTCACTTTTGCTGTGAACCTAAAACCATCTAAAAAATAGAACCTCATAAAAGTCTATGATGAAAACAATATTAGCAATGGAACAGAATAAGTTCAGAAGCAGATTCAAGTATACAAAGCTATCATGCAGCACAGGTGGCATATCAAATAATAGTGAAAAGATGGTGTTTTTAATAAATAGAATTAGAACAACTGAAAATCCATTTGATAATGAATCAAATTGGATTAATATTTCCCACACGGTAGAATAAAGTATAACAGAACAATTTTTAAAATGTGAAAAAGAATGCAACCATACAAATACTGGAAGGAAACACTGTGAATTCTATAGTCTGAAGAAAGTCTTCCCAACTATGACTAAAAGTATAAAATCAATAAAGGAAAAACATAATTAAATTTGCTACTAAAACACAGTGTGCCAAAAATCACTAGAAATAAAGCCCAAGTCAAAATAAATGATGACCTGCAAATAAATATTTGCAGCTTGTGTAACAGACAAAGAAATGGTGGTGTTAATATAAAAAGAGATTTTAAGAATCAAGAAGAAACACACTGTCCTGTGAAAAATTTATTGAATCAGTTCACAATAAAACAAACAAAATAGAAAGAGGATAGTGATTTTTAAATATATAAAAAGATGACCAATCTCACTATATTAGGAAACCACTTTTTACCTATCAGTTTGGAAAGAACCATTTGACAGTAACACTGTGGACAAGGCTGTGAAGAATGAAACATTTATTGAAAGTTGGTGAGAGTAAAAAGATTACACAATGCTTAATGAAAGGAATTTGACAATAATAAAGTGAATTATACATGGATTTCTCTTTGGTCCTAGCAATCTCATTTATAGGAATTGAGATTAGCAAATACTACTCCATGGATATAAGACAATGTGCTTCCCACTAAATTTTTGGTATAAAATGTGGACAGTGGTCTAGCTTCATCCTTGACCTGGGAGCTTGTTAGAGGTATTGAATCTCAGTGCCTGTGCAACTGGAATCTGAATTTTAACACATGTGATGATGTTATGCAAAGTTTGATGAGCTCCACACTCATGGCAGCTGTGTTTGTAATGAAGTAAGATTGCACGAAACTCAAATGTCCTTCAGTGATTCACAAAGTGGTACCCCTGCCAATAACTGACTTACTAACTAATTAACTGACTAACTAAATGTCATTAAAAATTGGAAAGATGTCTATGAAAGAAGGTAGAAGGATTTCTGAAACTTACTGTGAAGATAAAAAAGGAAAATTCAGAAAAGTAAACAGTCGAAACTCTTACGTAGAAAAGGAGGGTTATTAGATTATATTCACCTGAGTTAATTTTGGGAGAAGAAAACTCTAGAAGGTTCAATCTAAAACTAGTAAAGCTAGGATGAAAAGGGATGGACAGACTAGGAAGTGAAATATTTCTGAGCGTTCCTCCATGCTTAACTACCTGAAAAGTAAACTTTCAGTGAGTAGAGGCCAGAGATGCTGCTGCAGTTTTAGTGAAGCCTAGGAGCCTCCACCACCAGGAGTTATCTGGCTTAAAATAGCAAGAGTGTGACTTTGAGAAAAAGAGCTTGGGTGAGGATTTCAAGTTTCCTAAATGAACTTTCCAGTTTTAAAAGTTTGACAGAGTTCTCCTCCTGACTTCCAGCATGACTGCTCCAAGTAGCAGGCAGAGTTTTCTTAGTGGCCTGTGAGTTTGTCAGCTTCCAGAGTTGAACTCTTTTCACTAGATGATGGGGTAGAATTGTGTGCTTTAAATTTCTCCTGTGCAAAGTGCAGCTTCCCTGGATATACTAGGAACTGGCACTGTTTGGGGCACTGAAGTCCTAATTTAGTTTTTCTACAGACTCTTGAACTGGGATGGAGAAGGAAGTATAATTAATCACTTACAGACAAGAAAGTCCCAGAGACCGGAGCCTTGTCTTGCTTGCTCAGTAATCTGTTTAGCTCCGCATAGCAGGAAATTCCCTGATTGAGCAGTCCTCCACTCCCCATCTCACTCTGCTTTGGCAACCTGCTCAGCAGTGGGTGGGACTGTGTTCTCCCCATTAGGCTCATATCAGACTCCAGAGCAGCTCATCCAGTGGTCTCCTTCCTGGCAGCTCAGACCCAGAACTTGAGGTGTGTATCTGGCATTGGGAATTGCTTCCACTGGGGACATCGGACATCAGCTCCTAATCCTTGGTAAGTGCTGGAGCCTGCAAGAGTTTCCTGAGGTTCTCATCTCTTTCTTCACTCTCTTTCAGGTTAGTGCTCTCTAGAGAAGGGGTGTGGCCTCACCTGGCTGAATACCTGAAGGCTGGCTGGGAAAGTGGGCTTGCTTTGTGGTGGATTGGGGTGGGGTGGGATAAGCATCCTGCTGGGCTACAAGCAAGGAAATTCATACAGAGAGTGATAGCACCCCACATGAGCATGGAAGGGTGGCTGTGTTGTCCAGTACTAGGAGGACACTGGTGTGCTCATCTGGGTCCTAGGATGAAGCAGCCAGGGTGGATGGATAGAGGCATGGAGTGGGGGTCTGCAGTGCTGAGTTTTGGGCTGCCTACCCACTGATGATCCTGCAGGGAAGAGGACATTGCAAATCCTCTAGGCCACCTGAAGCCCTCGACACAGAAAGAATTGTGAATCTCAAAGGCAGTTGAGGCACATTTTAGATCTTGTGGTTGATGTCTTATTTTATTAATATAACTATAGGGAAAATTTTTCAAGACTCCTTATCACTTGGCTAAGAGAAGACGAAGACATTTAATCATATTTGAGTGCTGCTGTTTAGATAAAATCAGCACAGTTTGTTTCTTCTCTCTTCCTACCATGGAAAGTTTTGGGAAATCAATAAGTGGATTCTAAGGAAAGCTGGGTGAAGGGATGGGATCTGATTGTGCCTAGTGACAAAAGTGGGACTTAAAAAACTGTCTTCCTCTTGTGGTTTGTGGGACTTAGGTGATATGATCTGACAAGGGACATTAGTATTAAGGGCATGGGTGAGTTTTACCCTGGGACTCAGTGATGTGCTCTCTGATTAATAAGAAACTAAGTGAGGAGTCAAACATTGCACAGATTTAGCAGAATTCTGAAGTAGATTGAATAGTGGGCATGGAGGAAGACAATCCACCTGCCTGTGTCAGGGAAACAACTCACAAGGTGTGATAGTCTCAACACTGGAAGCATATGTTGCAACATGGACAGGCCTGAAAACAGGGATGTTGGTCTACCTGGCCATCACAGAATGAATGGCTTATTACCCAATCCTGACAATCAGACAAGCAGCCTCCCTTCCCTACCAGCAACCCATGACCTCTCTCACTGCTACAGAATCTCCATTTCTCTGTCACATTGCAGTGACTCATTCTCTTCCCTCCATCCACCTGCCTGTTCCTGACCCACAACTGAAAGGATCTACCCTCGTGAGCAGCACTGCCAGTACCTGTCCTTCCTGAATAGGGACTGAGAGTCATTTCCAGAAAACACACTTATGAAAGAGGGTGACATAAAAGAACCTTCTCACAGTCTCACAGGGCTATCTAAGCCAAGACAGAAATTGAGTACAACAAAGAATGATGTCAGTAATGTGTCTTGACAGTAGTTGAGGCAAAGAAATAGAATTAAGAAGAGAAGGGTAATACAGTTGCTTTCCAGTTCAAAGTGGCATTTGAAGAGGATTTTTTTTTTGTAAATACTTTTTCTTTTGCTATTCATCTGTATTTGGAAATCAAATATTTTGGGACATATGTGATTCCCTCCAGATGAATCACTGGCAATGTCTTAGTATGGTAGATGCCCTAGTAAAATATTGATGTGGTAAATATTTATTGAAGTATATGGGGCAGTTGGGTGCTGCTCCCCCAGAACTACCTACCTGACCAATTGGCATCTTAGTTCATCACTTATCTCTTTCTAAGTTTCCTCCAGATCTACCCAAGAGGCAGAACTACTCATGCATTTGTGGAAAGGCAGGGCAGTGATGAATTTTACCATGTGCTCAATGTTCTTAATAATTAAATTATGAAGTACATGACAGATATTTCTAAAAAATTCTTCTGCCTTAGGTTTTGTTGATTCTGCCATTCCTACTAGCCTTAGATAATCCCCCACACCACCCCTATCCTGACTGCTTAGTCTTATGCCAGACACAGATCCTGCCTGGGCAGTCAGGCCCACTGTTCAATGGCCTGTACAACAGAGGCCATAGAGACCTGTGAAGCCCCACTTTTAGAAACCTGTAATGTAGAGGTGAAGAGGGGCATACACTCTACACACTGAATCCAGTAGATGGAATGGTGATCCCCAAAATAAATTGATTTACATCTTGAACCTCACAATAAGACTTTGTTTAAAAATAGATCATTGCAGATATAACTGCATAAGAAGAAATTATTTTGGATTTAGTGTAAGTACTTAATCCAATGGCTAGACTCCTTTTAACAAGTGGAGACATGTAGAAAAATGTGATGTGGAGATGGTAGCAGATTTTGGGGTGAGGTTTCTGGCAGCCAAGAAATGCTGTGGATTGCCAGCAACCTCCACAAGCAGGGAGAGAGGGAGGATTGGCTGTGACTCAGCACTTCTGCCAGGATCCATCTTGCTAACACACTGAATTTTTATTTCTACCTTCCTGAACTGTGAGAGAGAATTCCATTGTCTCTTAGTCATTTAACTTGTATTAATTTATTACGATATAACATGGGAAAAAATTCATTGCAGTAACTGCACTGTGAGAGCAGGAGCCTCTAGCTATTGTAAGATTGGACGGTGAAGAGCTTAGACTTGGAAGAAGAGAGAGATTCTTAGGAAAATGTAGAATGATTTGGGTTTTGTTATGAGCATAGTTTTCCTTTAAGGAGAATTAAAGATCAGAAGTTAATCGGTTGTATTTCATATACCTGTGTACTTTGATTTATCATCTTGAGTTTTAATCCCTATGTTATACTCAGAATGAGGTCCTTTACTTCAGCATTATAAAAATTTTAAATCACTGTGCAATTTTGTGATTTATTATATTTGACTATTTTCAAGTTAAAATATGTACAATGCCATGCAACAAAACAAACAATACTATATATAAGCAAAACCTAAGTTAATTTCTTATTCCACACCCAATATGTAAATATGTGTAGTCTTCCGCCCATTCTCTATGCTTATAGGCACATGGTCAGATATATGTTCCTGTTTTGTTCCTTTTGACAAAAATGAGATTATACTAGAAATATTATTAGTCAGTTTTTTCACTTTAGTATTAAAAGCTTTCTATAAAAACTTGAGGACTCTACAAAAACCATTTAGTGTTTTAAGTGTACTTGTTTTTACTCAGTGCATGAAAATATCAGCCATAACTATGAATAAGTTGAATAAATACTCAATTTGTCTGTAAATCTGTACTTATGCAGCTCTTTCTTTAAATCCATTGTTTCAGATTTAACACCATGGATGCTCTGTCAGAAGCAAATGGCACCTTTGCCTTGAACCTTTTGAAAAAACTGGGTGGAAACAACTTGAAAAACATATTTTTTTCACCCTTAAGTGTCTCCTCAGCCTTGGCAATGGTCTACATGGGGGCGAAGGGAAGCACAGCTGCCCAGATTGTCCAGGTACCTCAAGCCATTTCTAGAAAATAACAAATGCTGCTATAAATTTATTGATACAGAGGTTCTTCTCCATTTCAAACTCGAAAGAGATTGTTGCCAACATGTAATTCTACTAGTGGCACAGGGATGAGGATGGGGAGTTTTCAGGAGGGAGCAAGGTACCACTCACTGGATAGCCTATGTAACCAGGGCTCACTTATGTGGGTGCTGCAGCTGGCAGCTCAGCTGGAAAAGAAAGAAGCCCTCTTGCATAAGTCTGTGGCCTTGGTGCTGACTGACAGCTGCGGTCTCATCCTCCTGTAAGAAACAAGAAAGTCTTTTTATTCTTCTGGGAACCTTCCATGTGGCCTTTCTTAGGTGAGTTTGGCCTTCCCTATGTCAGTAACTGAGTGATAAGAGAGTGAAGGTGGGCTTTTTTAAGGACTGAGCTCAGACAAATGTCACTTCTGCAATATGTTTGTCAGCCCAAATCCAAGGGAAGTTAATAGAGATTTCACTGTTTCTTTTATTTGTGGTTTTGGTTTTTGAGCCAGTGTCTCAATATGTAGCCTTGACTGGCCTCAAATTCACCAACTTTAGCTTCCTGAGTGTTGGGACTACAGGCATGTGCCATCACTGAGGATTGTGACCTTATCTTTTGGTATTACTAACACCATGAATATGCAGAGATAACACTTATTGTTGGGCAGCCATGTTTGCAGGGAAACTACCACAAATAGTGACCATTAATAACATGACTCACTTGATTAGAGTTTTGAAAAAACATTCCCATTCAAACTGATATTTATAGAATTCTGGTTTCCTTCAGGAAGTGATTACAGGGAGACCTTTAGAAAAAATTTAAGTAGGGAAACTGAACTGTTAAGATTTGGATATGCACCTTCAAAAATTACAGTGGTGCCAAAGTGACACTATTAAGAGGTAGGGTCATTCCCCTGGCAAACCTGACTATAATGAGGAGAGAAAAAACCCAAATCAGTAAAATCAGGAATGGAAAAGTGGAGATAATAGCAAACACCATGGAAGTCCAGGAAATCATCAGAGACTACTTTGAGAACCTATACTCAAATAAATTTAAAAATCTTGAAGAAATGGACAGATTTCTAGATACATATGATCATCCAAAACTGAACCAAGAAGACATTAATCACCTGAATAGATTATAACACAAAATGAAATTGAAGCAGCTATTAAGAGTCTCCTAAAAAAGAAAAGTCCAGGACCTGATGGATTCTCTACTGAATTCTATCAGACCTTTAAAGAAGAACTGATACCAACCCTCCTTAAACTTTTTCCATGAAATAGAAAGGGAAGGAAAACTGCCTAACACTTTTTATGAAGGCTGTATTACACGTATCCCAAAATCATGCAAAGACACCTCCAAAAAGGAGAAGTATAGGCCAATCTCCTTAATGAACATTGATGCAAAAATCCTCAATAAAATAATGGCAAACCAAATTCAACAACACATCAAAAAGATCATTCACCATGACTAAGTAGGCTTCATGCCAGGAATGCAGGGGTGGTTCAACATACGAAAATCAATAAAAGTAATAAACCACATTAACAGAAGCAAAGACAAAAACCACTCGATCGTCTCAACAGATGCAGAAAAAGCCTTTGATAAGATCCAATATCATTTCATGATAAAAACTCTAAGAAAACTCGGAATAGAAGGAAAGTACCTCAACATTATAAAAGCTATATATGACAAACCACAGCCAGCATTATACTTAAGAGTGAAAAACTGAAACCATTCCCTCTAAAGTCAGGAACGAGACAAGGATGCCTACTATCTCCATTCCTATTCAACATAGTACTGGAGTTTCTAGCCAGAGTAATTAGGCAAGAGGAAGAAATAAAAGGAATACGAATAGGTAAAGAAACTGTCAAAATATCCCTATTTGCAGATGATATGATCCTATACCTTAAAGACCAAAAACCTCTACTCAAAAGCTCCTAGACACCATCAATAGCTATAGCAAGGTAGCAGGATATAAAATCAACATAGAGAAATCCTTAGCATTTCTATACACTAATAATGAACAAACTGAGAAAGAATATAAGAAAACAATACCATTTACAATAGCCTCAAAAAAAATCAAATAACTAGGTGTAAACTTAACAAAGGATGTGAATGACCTCTACAAGGAAAACTATAAACTACTGAAGAAAGAGATTGAGGAAGACTATAGAAAGTGGAGAGATCTCCCATGCTCATGGATTGGTAGAATCAACATAGTAAAAATGTCTATACTCCCAAAAGTAATCTACATGTTTAATGCAATTCCCATCAAAATTCCAATAACATTCATTAAAGATATTGAAAAATCTACTGTTAAATTTATATGGAAACACAAGAGGCCACAAATAGCCAAGGCAATACTCAGTCAAAAGAACAATGCTGGAGGTATCACAATACCTGACTTCAAACTACATTACAAAGCAATAACAATAAAAACAGCATGGTACTGGCACAAAAAAAGACATGAAGTCCAGTGGAACAGAATAGAGGACCCCGATATGAAGCCACACAACTATAACCAACTTATCTTTGACAAAAGTGCTAAAAATATATGATGGAGAAAAGACAGCCTCTTCAACAAAAACTGCTGGGAAAACTGTTAGCAGTCTGCAAAAAGCTGAAACTAGATCCATGTTTATCACCCTATACCAAGATTAACTCAAAATATATCAAGGATCTTAATATCAGACTCCAAACTCTAAAGTTGGTACAGGAAAGAGTAGGAAATACTTTGGAACTAATAGGTGAAGGCAAAGACTTTCTCAGTGGAACTCCAGGAGCTCAGCAACTAGGAGCTAGCATAGATAAATGGGACTTCATAAAACTAAAAAGCTAAAGAGACCACCCACAAGTGGGAGAAAATATTTTCCAGCTACATATCAGACAAAGGACTGATAACCAAAATATATAGGGAACTCAAAAAACTAAATTCTCCCAAAATTAATGAACCAATAAAGAAATGGGCACGTGAACTAAACAGAACTTTGTCAAAAGAAGAAATTCAAATGGCTAAAAAACACATGAAAAAATGCTCACCATCTCTAGCAATAAAGGAAATGCAAATTAAAACCACACTAAGATTCCACATCACTGCTGTTAGAATAGCCATCATTAGCAACACCACCAACAACAGGTATTAGTGAGTATTTGGGGAAAAAGGAACCCTTTTACACTTCAGGTGGGAATGCAAATTAGTACAACCATTCTGAAAAAAAAATTGGAGGCTTCTTAAAAATCTAAAAGTAGATCTACCATTGATCCAGCAATACCACTCTTGGGGATATCCCCAAAAAATGTGACACAGGTTACTCCAGAGGCACTGCACACCCATGTTCATTGCAGCACTATTCACAATAGCCAAGTTATGGAAAAAGCCAAGATGCCCCACTACTGACGAATGGATTAAGACAATGTGGTATCTATACACAATGGAATTTTATGCAGCCATGAAGAAGAATGAAACGTTGTCATTCACAAGTAAATGGATGGAACTGGAGAATATATTCTGAGTGAGGTTAGCCTGTTCCAAAAGACCAAAAATCATATGTTGTTCCTCATATGTGGATATTAGATAAAGGGCAAACACAACAAGGGGATTGGACTTTGATCACATGATAAAGCGAGAGCACACAAGGGAGGTATGAGGATAGGTAAGACACCCAAAAAACTAGATAGCATTTGTTGCCCTCAGTGCAGAAAAACTAATGCAGATACTTTAAAGTGACAGAGGCCAATGGGAGAAGGGGACCAGGAACTAGAGAAAAGGTTAGATCAAGAAGAATTAACCTAGAAAGCAACACACACGTACAGGAAATTAATGTGAGTCAACTCCCTGTATAGCTATCCTTATCTCAACCAGGAACACTTTTTCCTTCCTATTATTGCCTATACTCTCTCTTCAACAAAATTAGAGATAAGGGCAAAATAGTTTATGCTGGGTATTGAGGGGGTGGGGGGAGAGGGAGGGGGCGGAGTGGGTGGTAAGGGAGGGGGTGGGGGCAGGGGGGAGAAATGACCCAAGCCTTGTATGCACATATTAATAATAAAACAATAAAAAAAAGAAGAATCAACCTAGAAGGTAACACACATGCACAGAAAAGCAATGTGTTTCAACTCCCTGTATCGCTATCCTTATCTCAACTAGCAAAAACCCTTGGTCCTTCCAATTATTGCTTATACTCTTCAACAAAATTAGAGATAAGGGCAAAATAGTTTCTGCCTGGTAGTGAGGGGGTAGAGGGGAGAGGAAGAGAGCTGGGGGGGTTAGGGAGAGGGTGGGGGGAAATGGGGAGAAATGTCCCAAACATTGTGTGCATATATGAATAAAAGAAAAAAAAGAGGTAAGGTCATTAGAGTGACAGGCCATGAAGGCTTCCCCCCATAAAAGGGGTTATAAGGTTTCTGAGAGTATTATTTTGGCTTGGTTAGTTGGCATCATGCCTTTCACTGGGTAAGGACCTAGCATTCATTGTTTTTAGAGGAAGCAGTCCTGACAATTGAACCTGACAGCATCTTGATTGGAGATTCTTCTCATTTTTAACATGATCTTTTAAGTAGTAGATCTATAAAGTGGTAGGTCCATAAAGCTATTTGTGCAGAGTTTAATGTTAGACCTATTTATTGAAGTCTGAGTATAGTGAGATTGTATGTTGTTTCTGAGTTCATTTTTTTTTTAATTTCAGACACTGTCTTTTAGTAAAATTGGTGCTGAAGATAAGGACATTCACCAAGGTTTCAAGTTACTTCTGGCTGAAATTAACAAAACTGGTACCAAGTACTTGCTTAGAACTGCTAATGGGCTCTTTGGAGAAAAGTCTTATGACTTCCTTGCAGTAAGTCACACTTGGTTTTCTTCCCCTCCCCTCCCATCTGTCCTCTTCCCTCCTCTCTCTTTCCCTTTCCTCCCCTCCCATCTGTCCTCTACCCTCCCCTTTCCCTTCCGTTCCCTTCCTTTTCTTTTGAGTTATCATAGAGGGGATTTCATTGTGTAATTCCATACTTGCATATAGTGTACCTTGAACAAGTTTGTGCCCTTCATTATGTATGCATTTCCTCTCAACCTCCTCTCCCCTTTTTCAAACAGTATTTGGTGGTTTTCATTATTCTGTCTCCATATTTATATATGTAGCATACTTACAGATTCTTTGCTCCTTCATATCCTCTTTCTCTCTCCTTCTCCTGCTGACTACTCCATACAGTCCACCATATACAATCATGTCCCATTGATGTAATTATTAACATCATCAGTTTAGGTCTACTACATTTCAGAAATGAACAAGAACATGCAATATTTGGCTTTTTGAGTTTGAGTTATCTTGCTCAGCATGATGTTCTCCAGTTCCATATATTTTCCTGTAAATGACATGATTTCATTTTTCTTTATGTCTCAGAATATTCCATGGTATATGTACCATATTTTCTTTATCCATTCTTCAGTTGTTGGGCACCTTGGCTTTTTCTACAGTTTGGCTGTTATGAATACAGCTGCAGTAACCATGGGTTCACAGGTATCTCTCTTGCATACTACTTTACATTCCTTCAGATATATGCCCAAGAGTGGTGTACTGGGATTATAGGTGAGTTTATTTTTAGTTTTCTGAGGAACCTCCATACTGAATTCCACAGTGGTTGCCCCTGTTTATATTCCTACCAACAGTGTGTGAGGATTCTTTTCTTGCCGCATCCTTGCCAGCATCCATTGCTGTCTGTTTTCTTGATGTCTGTCAATATGACTGGGGTATAATGGAATCTTTGTGTCCTTTTGATTTACATTTCTTTTATGGCTAAGGTGCTTCATTTTATTAGCCACTCACATTTCTTCTCTGATAACTGTCTATTCAACTTATTTGTCAACTTATTAATTATATTATTTGTTCTTTTGTTGTTTAGTTTTGTTGGCTCTTTGTATATTCTGGATATTAATCCCTTGTATGTTGAATAGCTGGTGAATATTTTCTCCCATTCTGTGAGTTGCTTCTTGATTTTTCTAGTGATTTTTAACTGCAGAATCTTTTAATTTGATGTATTCCCACTTATCAATTGTTGCTCTTATTTCCTGGATAATTGGAGACTTACCCAGAAAATAATTGCCTATACTTATATCTTCCAGAGTTAGCCCTATTTTTTCCTGTAGTACTAGCAGTGTTTCAGAGCTTACATTAAGATCTTGGATCTATTTGGAATTGGGTTTTGTACAGACTGAGAGATAGGGGTCTAGGTTTAGTCTTTTGTATGTAGATAGTCAATTATTCCAGCACCATTTGTTGAAGAGGCTGTCTTTTCTCCAGTGTATGTCTTTGGCTCCTTTGTCAAAGATGAGATGGCTGTAGCTGTGTGGCTTTATTCCTGGGTGTTCTATTCTCTGATATTCTGGTCTTCATGCCAGCAGCATGCTGTTTTTGTTATGGCTCTGTAATATAACTTGATGTCTTATATTGTTATACCTCCAGCATTGCTCTTTAAGCTCAGGATTGTTTTGTTATTCAAGGTTTTTTTTGTTTTCATATGAACTTGAGGATAGATTTTTCTATTTCTGTGAAGAATGCCTTTGGAATTTTGAAGGGAATTGCACTGAACATATAGATTGCTTTCAGTATTATAGCCATTTTCATGGTTTTAATTCTACCAATCCATGAATTTGGGAGGTCTTTCCATATTCTGGTGTTATCTTAAACTTCTTTCATCCAAGTTTTATAGTTTTCATTGTAGAGTTCTTTCACCTCCTTGGTTAAGTTTATACACAGATATCTTATTTTTTTTAGACTATTGTGAATGAGATTTCTTTCTCAGCCTGTTCCTTGTTGTTATACAGAAAAATCTTTCTGTATGTAGTAATACCTGCCATTTTGTTTTTGTAGGATTTTTTTTTCTTTTCTATGTTTCATATCCTTATGTACTCATCTGGTGAAATTTAGTTTTCCCATGTTTTCATGGGTACATTTATCTTCCTCTTCTGTGTGTAGGACATCTTTGAGTATCTTCTGCAATGCTGGTTTAATGGTTATAAATTGCTTAGTTTTTGTTTTTTATGGAAGTTTTTTTTTATTTCTCCTTCAGTTATATATGATAGCTTTTCTGGGTAGAGTCATCTGAATTAGAAATTATTGTCTTTCAGCACTTGTACTACATCATTCCATTCACTCTTTTTAAGGTTCTGTTTAAGAAATCTGCTGTTATTCTGGTGGATTTACCTTTCTATGTGACTTGCCACTTCTCTCCTACAGCTTAAATGTTCTTTCTTTGTTCTGTACACATATCATAGACAACTATGATATGTCTTGGAGTGATTTTTTTTTTTGTTCTTGTCCATTGAGTGTCCTAAAAGCCTCCTGTAGCTGAATGACTATCACTTCCTCAATACTTGTGAAGTTTTCTTCTATTACTTTATTGAATATATTTTCTATCCCTTTAAATTGCACCTCTTCTTCTATGCCCCATGATGCATGATTTGTAGTTTGGTCTTTTAATAGTGTCCCAGAGGTCTTGCATATTCCACTTATATTTCTTTAATGTTTTTCTTTTTTCTTCATTTTACTCTGTGAATACAGCTACTTTATATTTAAGCCCTGCTATTCTGTCTTCAACTTCATACATTCTACTGGAGAGATTTTTCCACTGAGTTTTTTACCTGACTTATTGAGCTTTTCATCTCCAGAATTTCAGTTTGATTCTTTTTTCAGGATTTTTATATGTTTAATGAATTTCTCTTCCACATCTTATCTTGGTCCTGTGTTCAGAACTCTCAGTCCTGCCTGGCAGCAAGTCCCCAAAGCCACCAGATAGTTCCTGAATGCTGAGAACCATGCCAGCCAAAGGCTTGGAGCTGTTTCTTTAGTGATCTCTTGTCCCTGGGGCTTGCTCTAGCTGGAAAGGGTATGACCACAAACTATCAGGTCCTTCACTGCCTGAGCTCCTGGTATTGTTTTAATTTTTCCTCTTGCCCATGTCAAAGCCCCTTCCTCTCCTCAACCACTTCTCCTAGCTGTCTCTCACCCAATATGGTGTACAGGTTTCCCACAACCCCCTGAACTGGGATTATGCCTTAAATTTCTTAGTGTGCCAGCTGGCTGAGTCTCAAAGCCTACCTGATGACTAGCGGCTTCAGGAACTCCTGGAACCTGAGTTCTCTGGCAGTGGAAGCTAGATGCACTGGTTTTGACATTGTCTTTAGGCAATGGAGCTATTTTTACTGCATAGGGTGGGGCCACTGACCTCTGGGTCTTTTGCTGCTTCTTGAGCTCTTGCCACTAGCCCTCAGCTCCTCCCAATCAAAACCTCTTCTTCTTTTTGTCTGGGCAGTCTCCCACCCATATGTGGTGACCAGGAGTCCCAGAAATCTCTGAGCTCAGTCTTAAAATTCACCTGCAGGCAGCTTCTTTTTTTATCTGAATTCTTTGACAGCAAAGGCTAGGTGCTTTGTTTTTGGCATTGTCCTCAAGCAATGAAGCTATTCTCTCCAGGTAGGGCAGGGCTGCTAATCACTCACCTTTCCCTTCTCCAGCTCCCTTTAGAAGTTCCTCCCGTTCCTGAGCCTCTCATGGCTCTCTTCTCTCATTTACTGTGGCCAGGTATCTGCATATGCCCTGAGTGTGAATGTTTCTTGTTTACAAGGCCCCCTACCCCACTATCTCAGTCTTGAATAGGAGGCCCTCTCTCAAGATGGCATCTTGCCAAAGCTTTCCAAAGTGTAGGTAATTAAAGGGTCTGTCATGCTGGGAAGTCACTGAACTCTCAAATCATAGCACTGGGGTTAAGGTTAGCTGGAGGTGTGGCTTTGATCCAACAGCTAGGTCTGCCAGTCTTTTGTGGAAGCCTGAAGTGGAGGCTTCAGCTTCAACTCCTCCTAAGGGAGCCAGAGGTGGACTACAAACTGCTTCTTAATTTATTATGTTATCTTTATGTTTTGCTGTATTTTTCAGTAGCCCTGTCTCTCTTTTGTGGTTCTTGATGATCTTTCTCTCCTTAGGTCATTGGAATGTAGTCTCTCCTTTCAGACTTTTCTCATTCATGGAGTCCAACAGAGAAAGTTTCTCCTCCACCATATTTCCTTTCCTTTTTTTTTTCTTTTTTTCTTTAAGTAATAAAGACAGCCACGTGGTGAGAGTGGTAGAAATAATGTGTGTTATTAACTTGCAGAAGTGAGCTTGTACCTAGGTCTTCCTGTACAAACCTCACACAGTTGTGTTGTTTCAGTTTTCTTGTCTGTCACATGGGGTTGTAGCAAATACTGTGGAGAGAATTAGGCCATTTCTAAAAGAACTAGCATGGATCTAGCACAACTGAATGTGAATCAGCCAAAACAAAGAAAGAGTCAGAATGAATATTTCTAGTCGTCACTTTGCAGATATTGTTGATTATTTTGTTTGTTGTAACACTTGATTATCATTTTACACATTTAAATATTTTGATTGGTTATTCAGTCACTAAAATTTTTGTTTGTTTCTTGCTGGTTAAACTGCTTTTGTTTGCTGACAATGCTTTCATGACTTATTTCATTAAAAAATACTCAAGTAATATCTTGCCATACGAAATTCAAATAAAGCAGATAAACACAGAAATCTTCATCAACCTCTTTCTGATTCCATTATTCCCATTACCAGTGTAAGATCTTTTATGAGTTTAATGTGGACCTTCCTTGACATATAGAAGGTTTGCTCTGTGAGTTTTTTGTATGTATAATAACAGTATATTATATAGATTATTTATAATTTGCTTTTTTTCATTTCACAACATAGCTTAAATTATCTCCATCTTAGTATATATGGATCTACAATACTGATTTTTACATTATCTAATATTCCTAACTATGCATGTACTGTAGTGTAGGAATGTGTTCCCCCATTGGTGGCATTTAGAGTTGGATCCAATCTGAGTCATTACGAAGAGTAATGTTCTTTTACATGATTTTGTGCCTCTGTGTATATATTACTCTTTAGAGTGGATTTGTAGAAAGAAGGAAGGGAAAGAAGCAACCAAGGTCAAATTACTTTTCACAATGCTTGTAGCTATTTGAGTTCCTGCCAGGGCATTTGTAAAGTGCTCATTTCTAACCACCACCATCAACAATGACTATTGCAGTGTTGAATGACCTTTGTTATGTTAATGGAGCATTTTTCCTTTTCTGTGAATTTTCTGTTGATGTATCCTGTGCACATTTTCCATAGTAATGTATGCCTTTTTCTTCTTGATTTATATGAATTATCTATGCTTGGGATATCAATTTTTTTTATAAAAGTTTATTCATTCCTAACTCTAATTATTTCACAACAAATTGGTATAAAGTGAAAGTCAACCATAATGTCAATCATTAGTGAGATTGGAAACATTACTTTACTTTTTTTTATCATCACTCTTTCTTCTTTCTAGATAGGTTCTCTAAATTTTCAGCAAGCAGCAAGGATTGGCTGATTTTCTTTTGCCTTTTGGTGGGTTTATTAAGAAAATCAATGGTATTCAAATGGCTATTTTGATATTGGAATTTAAGATAAGGGGTGAGAAACATTTTCATTAATTTGGAAATTAATGAACTAATTCATTAATACTATGGCTCATGAAACAGTAACTTAACATATCAGACAGGTATATACATAACCCAGGATGGTCTCCTGCCTCAGTCTCCAAAGTGTTGACATTGCAGGCCTGCATCACTATGGCTCACCGATGTTTTAAATGTGTCTTTATTTTGCATCTTCAAGAATGACATAGAGCTGGAATAAAATACTACCTAACCTTTTCCACTTGACTTCTTCTACTGAGTAATAGGCATTTAAGTTTCCTTCCTGTCTTTTCATGAGTTGATAGCTCATTGTGGTTAGGGTTTGTGTTAGACAGCTTTCCATCTCTATAACAAAATGGTGAAGAAAAACAACTTAGGAAGAGAAAAGAATTATTTTGGCTAATGGTTTCAGGGGTTTTGATCTATGGTGGGCTGGCTCCATTACTAAGGGTCTGTGGTGAGGTACATCTCATGAGGTGAGAGCATGTGGCAGACAAGATGCTCCCCTAGTTGGCAGGTAGGAAGCAGAGAGCTAAGCAAGAGGCCATGGATAAGGCATGCCTGTACTCCCAGTGTCCTACTTCCTCTAACCATATGGACATTCTAAGAACACATTCAGCTAAAACACACCAAGAGCACAATACATTTTATTACCACCCCCATAATCCAATAACCTCTCAATAGTGTTATCTACTGGGTGCTAAGTCTCCAACAAAAGAACCTTTTGAGGAACACTACATATCTATAACAGTGCTCCACAATGCTCCTTTGTGTGGGTACAGTACAGCTCACTTACAGGATCATTTACTGAAGGGCATCTTGGTTGTTTCCAATCTCGGCAATTATAAAGAAAGTTGTTATAAACATTCCTGTTCAGGTTTTTTCATCTCCTTTTGGATAAACATTGAACATTGTGTTATTGGATCACATGGAAAGAGTATTCTTAGTTTTGTAGGAAATTACCAGATGGCTTCCAAAGGGGCCATACCATGTTACATTCCCACAAGCTATCAATGAGAGTTTCTGTTCTACATTTTATGAGCACTGTGTTGTCAGTTTCACTTTCATTTAGTTCAAAATAATTTTAAGTGTTTCTTAGGATTTCCTCTTTGACCCCCTCCTTGTTTAGAAGTGTGCTTTTAATATGTAAGTATTGGAGGATTTTTCTGCCATCTTTCTCTTTAATTCTCCTTTAATTCTACTGTGGTCTTTGAGCACTATTACATAATTGTTATTGTTTTAATTTGTTAATGTGATTTCTATGGAGCACCACATAATATATGTGGTGAGCAATGCACACAGCTTGAGAAGAATGTCTAATCTGCTCCCTTTGGATGAAGGACTCAAAAGATGTCAAATATATCCACTTAGTTGACATTGTTTTTGAGTTCAAATTTGTCCTCACTGATTTTCTGCCTGCTGAATCTGCCCATTTCTGAAACAGAACTGTTAATGTCTCCAATTATAATAGAGGATTCATCTATTTCCTCTGCAGTTCTGTCAGTTTTTGCCTCATGCATTTGATGCTCTGCTATTAAGGGCATACATTTAAGGATTGTTGTTTATGGAGAATTCACAGTGATTTTTGAATGATCTCACTGATGATCTGAAATGCTTTCAAATGATCCAGAAGTATATGAAAATCACGTAACGTGCACATCATTATTTTAGTAATTTGTAAGCTAAGAATAGGTATAACTAAAATAACTAAAAGCATTGGGACTTATTACTTTCTTATATTTTATTGAATTTTACTATGGTAAATCATGAAATTATTGACTTTCTGATGTGACAAATGAAAGTAAGTTGTTATTAGTTACTGTTGTTGCTGTACAATCATGTTTTAATTATTTCTCCCAGAATTTTACAAATTCCTGCTATCAATTCTACCAAGCCAACATGGAACAGCTTGACTTCCTTAAGGAGGCAGAGACATCCAGGAAACACATAAATGTATGGGTTGCTGATAGGACTAAAGGTAAGTAACTGTTAGATTTTTTAATAATACTTTAAACAGTAATATATTCCACTTACTTAAAAAATTACATATTTATTGAAATATGTAACATATTTAAGTTTATAGATTTAATTATTTCAGAAGCAGATTTCTAAAATCTATTTCTAAAGTCTAAAGTTTATTTTCATATTTGAGTAAATAGGAAACCTGGTTGTTTAGAAAACTGCTTCTGAAATAATTACAACATGTAGACATCTTGTCTAATTTGTCTTCATTTTTTTCTTTTTTTTTAAGTGATTATGGGAATTGAATGCAGAGCTTTGTGTATACGAGGCAAGCACTGAACCACTTGAGCCATGCCAATGGCCCTATCCTCACTCTAATTCACTATCTGTGATACAGTCACTATTCAGTACATCTCCTCTACAACAACCTACCTTTCCTTTTTCTTAATGTTAGAGATTTTATTTCACGTCAGCATAAAACCATGCAGTGGTTTCTCGGTACAATGCTCCAGAATGCTTAGCCAAATGCTTTAACATGAAATTCTTATCTACACTGTTCTTTACAGGAGTGCCAACTTCTCACTTTTTCAATAATTCTTTAAGTTCTTTTCTGTGAGCCACAGGCACCAATCACTTATTTCCATCTAAAATATTAATAGCTTATACTCTGTGTGTGAATATCAAGTGCTTATTTTATGCATTTTATTGAAATTGTACTATTCTTGACTCGAGGGATGCATCCAATCCTATTTACTTTCAGGTTGGGCCAGGGCTGGCCTCAGGTTGAAAATATCTGTACAATGCCTTTCTTGTACCTGGGATAGCACAGTGGCCCACCACACCCCAGCAGTTTTTTGACAATGGATCTAATTATTTTATGTCTCCGCTGGCCTTGAATCAAAATCCTCACAAAGTTTGCCTCCTGAGTAGCTGCAAATGCAGGCATGAGTCATCACACTTGGCCTTTCCACTCTATTTTTGTTGTGGTATTTGTACTGCTGTTGTGAGTTCAAGTATCCCTTTCCATGGTTACATTTTAGGGCAATGTGAACTTCCTTCAAATTGTTTTCTCAGTGAAAGTGATTGATCTGAAAAATCCTGGTACATGCATCAGCTAACCTTTATTTAACTGGACTTTTAATTCTTCTTTACAGGTAAAATTACAGACATGCTGCCTCCATATTCAGTTGGTTCATTGACTAAGCTGATTCTAGTGAATGCCATCTATTTCAAAGGGAATTGGGAAAATCAGTTTGAGAAAAAGCAGACCAAAGAAATGCCTTTTAATGTCAGCAAGGTGTGTATTTTGCACTGTCAATGGCAGTTCCTGTTCCCTGTGCTCCATTGTTTTTTAAACATGAACGATGCTTTGCTTTAGGAACTTGCACAGGTTTGTGCCATCCTTGCAACTGGACCCCCTGCCAAGAGTTGGGACTTTCTCTTGCCATTTCTCACTTTTTGTATCTCAGAAAAAAAAACTACATATTCCTGGGCCTCTTCCCCAGCCAAATAGGTCATCTATTTTGTGTACTATCTACACTACAAAACAACTATATTACTCTCAACTCCCAAAGTTGTTGCAATAAAGTTCAAACTCCAGTAACATGTTTCATGATGCTGTCATAATTTGGAACAAGTCTATTTGTTTCTTTATCCTGATTTGTCATCAGCACCTTCAAGCTCCATTTTACCACCAGATTCCTCTTTGGTAAGCTTCTTTGGTTCTCCATCTCATCTGTGCCATTTTGCTGCTCTTGCTCCCATCAGTCATGGTACCACCCACCTGTTTCCATGGTAGCATTGCAGTTGTTAAAGAAGTGTTGTTTTCCCATTGTATTTATCACTATTTGAGGGTAGATAATGCTTACAAGTGCCTTGCACAGTCTTTGCTTAGCAAATACTGAATCAGTTTTATTTCTAGAGTAAAGATAAATAAGCACAAATGTTTGTTTAAAAGCTAGGTAGAAGGATACCTATACAGGAGTGAGCTAGCTTTTCCACTTTTAAAATATTATTTGCACAAGATGTGTCGTACTCTGAATCTGTTCATCCTTAACTTTTTATTTAGCTCCAGAGATTTATTGAACAAGCAGAATAGATTTATTAATTTTATCATGGATTATTCACTACTAGTTAAATCTTTTGGAAAGACTTGAATCTTAATCTTCAGTTTCTTAATATATCTATTCTCTTTACAAGCATTTTTTTCCTGAAATATATCATCTCATTTTTTTCTTGGCATACTATTTCTGTGACTGAAATTTCTTTAACACAATGTGTGTTAGGGTTTCATTCAAATGCCTATGACAGAAATTCCAACACATAGTATCTTAAACTCTAGTATTTCATCTCTCTAACAAAATGTTGGAGTGGACAGAGGCCAGGAAGACAACGAGATGTAGGTGAGACTTTGATGGAACCATCTGTTTTCTTTCTCCATCATCAGTTGCACCTAGTTTCTTACTCATGATAACAGGATGGTTCAGGATTTTAACTGCACCTCAGACAAGAAGAAAGGGGAAGGATAATTCTTAATAAGATAAAAGAGGAGAAAAGGCATTATGAAAAAGTAAATGATTCTTTGGAAAAATTAATGTCCCTTTGGTGATGGGGGATGTAATATTCTTGTGGCAATGTCTGGTTGAGTATGGGGAAGACTTCTTCAAGCTGAGAAGAGAACCTTAAGGTTGGTTCTGTAGAGGGGAATCATGAGAATTGAGTTATTTTTAGTGCACTTGGTAGATTCTGCTTTGGAGCAGATATGAGATTTCAAGTTCTGGAATGACTTTGCTGAAAATAATTGCAATGAATTTTTGGGTGGCACATCAGATCCCAAAGACAAGCAAAAATGTAAGAAAAAAAGGATTGAATCCTGGGTACTATTTGATTGGGAAACTAAGAAGAATGAGATGAGCCAGTAAAGGAAAGTCAATGTGGTGATCAAGAGAGAAAGGGGAAGTGTTTTAGGAAAGTGCCTGATTCTGTTGATTGTGTCTTATGTGTCAATTTGGTTGTTTTTCACTTTAATTTTTATATGATTCCATTATAGAATGAGAACAGAACTGTGCAAATGATGCATCAGAAATCATCTTTTAAAATGACCTATGTTGAAGAAATATCAACTCAGATTCTTGTGCTGCCCTATGCTGGAGGAGATCTGAATATGGTCATCATGCTTCCAGATGAAGACACTGACTTGAAAATGGTAATGAGTGTGAAAGCATACTGTTATCATATTAAAGGTTCTGACAAACCTGTAGAAAAGCAACTTTGGAAATTTGCTCTTACCAGGATTTTTTAACATATTTAGTCACGTGCTTCTTCCCATTTTTGTAGCTACCTCTATGTAGTATTCTATATATTGAACACACACTACATCCTGGGCACAGGTTGGAGTCAGACCAGGTTCCATGTCCTGCTTTACTATTAAATAATTTTTCTTCCCTCAATCTCTTTCTTCCTCTGGAAAATGATGATAGTATTAGCCAGCTTTCTGTTGTTGTTACTATAGACCTGAGACAAACAACTTAAAAGGAGGAAAGGTTTATTTTGGCTCCTGGTTTCAGAGGATTCAGTTCATGGTCACTTGATCCTAATGCTATGAGCCTGAGGCAAAGTTGAACATCAGGACAGATAATCCATACAGATTAAAGCTGCTCCCTTTATAGCAGTAGGGAAAGAGGGAAGATGAGAGGAATGGGGAAAATGGAGAAGGGGAGAAGGAGGGACCAGGCAGAACATACCCCAATCATATGCCCAAGGACCAATTCCCTTCAACTAGCTCTAACATACTATATTTTATCTCTTTCCAATAATTCCATCAGTTTATGAATCCACCATAGTATTAATCCATTGGGTACATTTAAGTCCTAATAATCTAATCGCCTTACAAAAGTCCAACAGCTGAAATCCAAGCTTTAGCACATGGCCTTCAGAAGAACTTTCAGATCCATATCTTAACGCTATTGATGATGGTTGTTGTAGAATTATAGGAGAGGACATATTTCATGCATTTGTTCCAATGTGCAAAGTATACTTTGACATATATTGGTAGTCTTCTCCCAACCACTGCTCAATTATGACTTTGTCCTTCAAAAAGAAGTTATAGGACACAGTGCCTCTGTGAGTGTATTAATGTCCTAGAGATCTTGTTAAAATTAGGTTCTAATTTGACTGGACTGGTTTGGTGTCTGGGATTGCATTTGTAATGAGCTCCTAGGTGATGTTGAAGTTTCTAACCAATGGACCTTGGTTGAGGTAGTAGAGAAAGGTGGTAGAGAATCAATAAAGACTTAAAAAAAAGGTCAGTGTTTAGCTTTTTCAGAAAGCCGGCTGCAACAGATTAATTGGAAAAAGGTAAAATGGAGATGGATCACAATAGAGGCTGCTGTGGCCTTTAACAAGACATGACAATGTCTGAACAAAGTCAGTGGCAATGGAAACAGGAAGTGATAGACTGAAAATTTGGAAGTTAAATAAACACAGAACTGTAGAGGATTCATTGGGAAGAAATTCAGGTGAAAGAGAAGTCCTTTCTAGACAGAAGCTATAATTTTAAGAGAATGGTCATCCTCTCATAAATGCATTCCAAGCTTTGTCTTCGGCCTCGGGAAACCTACTTTCCCTAACTTTCTGGAGTAGCTAAGCCAACCCACTGAAATGTAAAATCGTCAACTACTTGAATGTCCTAACCTTACTGTAAAGGTAAAAATTTTAAAACTCCTATCTTTCTTATGATTCTCACACTTCTAGCACTTAGCTTCCGCACTTGGCTAGTGGCTACTGTAATAGTAAAGCTTAGTTAGAAATCTTTAAAATCAAAGAATAAGTAGTTCAGACATCACTACTCCAGAAATTAAATGTCTAATTCTCTTTTTCTAGGTGGAAAAAGAACTCTCTTATGAGAAACTCATAGAATGGACAAGGCCAGAGAAGTTGTATAAAAGAGAGTGGAAGTTTTCCTTCCTAGATTTAAACTGGAGGAAAATTACGACATGAAAGATGTACTTCAAGATTTGGGTATGGTTGATGCCTTTGAACAAGGCAGAGCTGACCTCTCTGGAATGTCATCTAAGAAAGACTTGTGTTTGTCCACGGTCATTCACAAATCCTTTGTGGAGGTGACTGAGGAAGGCACAGAAGCAGCAGCTGCCACGGCTGTCATGGCACTGGGGGGCTCAGCATACACCAAACCTCCCCCCAAGTTTTGTGCTGACCATCCCTTCCTTTTTTTTATCCAGCACAGCAAAACCAATGGTATTGTCTTCTGTGCCGATTTTCCTCTCCATAAGGAAGTAATCATACACATTTGATACAGCCCTTCTCCTTTTCTCTTACTGACTTGCTTTTGCTCTGCAACTCAAAGTGACCTATCAGTGCAGTGGTGACAAATCACCACTGATTTGTTTGCTAATACCTTATTTTGTGTGCTTGTGGATTCATGGAATGTTTTCTAGGGTCTGAATTTATCACTCCCCAAGTGTCTTGTGGTCATTTGGCAGTGGTTGTACTGGCCACTTACCACCTCTCTGCTTTGCTTTAGCTGTTGGTCCCACCTTCCTGATTGCCCCACACATCCATTGCAAGTATTAGACTTTTGTGCAGGTGCCACCTCACCATATGCTGTACTTCCTAAGTATTCTGTTCCTCTCTTCTCTTCTTTGTACTAACATCTTTTTTTTTATTTCCTTTGTGATAATGTGTTTTGAATTCAGGGTTTCCTGCTTGCTAGGGAGTCACTCTACCACTTGTGTCAGCCCTTCAGTCCATTTTTACTCTGGTTTATTTAGAGATGGGGTCTTGGTCTTTGACTAGGCTGGCCTGGAGTACTGTCCTCCTATTTTATGTCTCCTCAAGTCACTGGGAATCACAGGTGCATGTCACCATGCCCAGATGGGGTCTTACACACTTCTTTTGCCCAGCTGGTTTTGGATCATTATCCTCTTGATCTCAGTATTCCATGTGTATTAGAGCACAGGCGTCCACCACTGTACCTGGCTATTGGTTGAGATGGGTCTATTGAACTATTATTTTTTTGCCTGGCTGGCCTCACACTGTGATCCTCCCAATCTTAGTATTTCAGTCTTGATACACCAACACCCAGATTGCACTGATATCTTGAACCAAGTTAATGAGACAGTAGATAGTGTGCTGCAGAACTTGGAGGATGTGTTGGCAACAGGTTCTAGAAGTTCACAGTGGGGACCTCCATTCCCTAGCTTCCTGACAGCTCTTCAGAAGCCAGCGAGAGTTTGCTCATACCAGTGACATCAGTCCAATTTTATTTTTCTTTTTCTGTTTTCATCATCCTTTGTGTTCATAGCTACTTGTGGGTCACATGCCTATTCAAATATAAAGTTTCCCATTTTCTCTAAAATTGTCAATATTGCTATCAAGCAACAGAAATGATAGATGGATTCTGTTTGCAGGAAAGTAGTTTGAGACAACTTCATAAGTAAACAACAGATGTCTTTATTTTCTTTTAAATATTAAAAATTAAATCTAAGCTTTCTGTAGCCATTTTTATTACTTTCTTGAAATACTACTCTTGTGTTCAGAAATAAGGACAGGTGCAATAGGGACTTGGAATAAAAGATACCCACCCCAGTTACAGGTAAGAAGAAGGGAAAAGTCTGAGCTCTTTCCCAGGAGCAATATTGAGCCCCTGGCAGTCAGCAATTCTGTGAGTCTCCTGAGTGTCACATACCCAACTCCTATTTTCATTCCATAGTTTCACTTTTCCCTTTGTACCCTAATCACCGATTTTGCCATGTGGAGAGAAGGAAGTGAGGCATGAAATTCACTCAGAAGGCTGAGGCTGGCGAATTTAAGTTTCAAGCCATACAAGACCCTATCTCAAGTAAACAAAACAAAAACAAACAAACAAAAAACCAAAACAAGCTAAAACTAATTAACAAAAGTTGAATTAATTAACATAATTGAATTTAAAAAAGGAAAGAGAGAATATTAGAGGTTTTTGGTTCTTCACTCTTATCCTTCTGCCTCTTCTTTAAGACTTGAACTTAGAAAGAAGACTCAAAGATGGCAGATAATCAGTATATGTGAATCTTTCAGGGCAGAGAGAGCCTCTGATTGCTGAAACCACTGTCCCTGAGTTAACATCCTGTTCCTGGAGAAAGGTATGCCCTATGCCCAGCCTTGCTGATAGTCCAGCTGAGTGGAGGGCAGAAGGTAAAGAGAGGGAGAGTGTAAAGCGAAAATCCTCTTCATGAGTGAAGGTGTTCCTTCTCTTTCTGTGGAATGATGACATACAGAGTATATAAAAAAATGAGAACTGAAGGTGAATTTTTAGTGTTCTTATCTGTTATGGACCTGTACTACAATGAGACCTTAGTTACATCAGTCATAGTGCATAGGAACTTATGACATGCATACTACCTAGAGACTCTAGTTGTCAAATTAGTTGTTTGTTACATTGCCTTTGAAGAGTTTCATTCAATTGTTCTTCTACTATAAGGCCTGAAAATTCCCATGCTACTTTAGCATGTCTGAGCCCCTCCAGGCCCAAAGGCCTAGCCATGAAGTCCTCTGGTCCCATCAGGTGTGTGGATATCTGTATATCAACAAACAGGAAATGCTGCTCTCCCAACTTGTTCCTCTATCAGCTGTATTCCACTTGGTCCTTAACCTAGGTTTCATTACCAGCCTGCAAAATTATGTGCCTAAAGTTATATATCCCAGAGAAAAAAAGGTGGAGGTGGCCCATTTTCTCACTACAAACTTGTCTGCTGGCTCATTTTATTCCTGACTGCCACTGCCACATGGGGTCACATGGCATGTGGTGTCTTTATTCTCTGGGCTATGACTGCATGCCACTAATAAACTGCTGCCAATTTCACCTGTCCAGGATCTCTTCTATGTGTTTGGTGTTCTCATATTATTTAGGGTGGGTGATCACTACTTCAACAATGAGATGAAAAGAGTGATAAAATAATTATGTTTCAGGAAAAGGTACAGTCACCCAAGTGCTGCTTCTGTACCTTAACATGAAATTTAGCTAAATGGTATCTCTATCATGCTGTACAGTGTTTCTTGTAGCCATTCACAAAGTAAATTCTTTCTAGGACTTAATTCTATCAAAAAGTCTCACTTATTCACAAATGTCTAGTGATTTCCTAAATTGTATTAGGTATTTTACAGAAGTAGCTGAAATATCATTCTCAGCAACAAGAAATCCCTGATGAATCTGAGCTCAAGAGGCTAAGTAACTTGAAAGGTTCTAATGGCCCTCAAAGGGTAGAACATGGATTCAAGGTCAGGTCTAATAATGCCAGAGACATCATTCTCAGTAAGGGGCTGAGCTGCCATCTCAGCTCCTAAGGGAAGAGCAGCTGTTGGCATGGTACAGGAGTATAAGCAACTAGAAAGAAGTCTTTTTTAGGAAGTCTCATTCCTCTGGCTCTGTCTACCCATGTTGAAACTGGGGCTTGGAAATTTCTGCCATCAAAACATACAAAATTGGCCAGTGCAAGAATTTACTGGGATATAGAGCCAAGGTCAGGTGAAAATTCTGATAGGCTGCCTCTTCTTCCCTTATGTCCTTCAAATACTTTAACACATGAGTCTTTTAGGGAAATTTCTTATCCAAATTTAAACACCATTCAAAAACCTATAAATAATAGGAAAAGAAACCCCTGTAAAACATAAGGAAACCTTGAATCCTTCTGGTAACATGAAGGAATCCTTTGGTGCACCAGAAAACTCTCAATAATGACTGAAAAAACTGAAATCCAGGATCATGTCAAAAAAGACACCACTGATGAAAATGCTGGCAAGAGAGGGTTTCTAAGAAAGGTAGACATAATTCTAAGAATTCTGGGCTACATATGGACACAGGAATACATAAGCATAATTACAGAATGGGACCCTCCAGCAAACCACTAGAATTAAGTGAATAAAGAAGGAAGATATAGATCAGCAATTGAATATGAGACCCACAATTTTCCAAAGTAAACAGCAAAACCTTGGGAAATTTATTTGGGCTACTTTTAGATTAATACCCTGAGTTTAGTGTTAAGTGAAAAATTAGCATGAGCCAGATCTGCATAAAATATGTACTTTGGTTGAAGTTATTCATATCTTCACTTCCTTTTGGAAAATGCTATGTAGACTTCCTTTTAAACTCATTACTGATGCATCATTGAAATATTCAAAATTGAATTATTTCACATTGTGGAAAAATGCAAAAATATAGACAGAGTAAAAAGATCAATGGTTACTAAGGTCCTGAGGGGAAAAGGGAAGGATCAATGAGTGTAATGGAGAGGAGTTATGGAATAGTGAAACATCACCAAGATTAACCCAGTTGTACACAATGGACCTTGTGTGATAATGTATCAGTGTACATTCAAAGAATATAACAGAAGTGCCACTCTGGTTGGGATGCTGATAATGGGTGAGGCTTACCTGTGCAAAAACAAGGATAATGTATGAAATGCCTGTATCTCTCTCTCACTTTTGCTATGAACCTAATAAACTAAAAACAAAACTTTACAAATATCTATAATGAAAAGGTATGATCAATGGAACTGAATATCAAGTTCAGAAACAGACTCAAGTACATTAAGCTACTTATTGTGCAATAGAGGTGGTATGTCAGATAATTAGTGAAAAGATGGAGTTTTAATAAATAGGATTGGAACAATGGAAAATCCATTTGAAAATGAATCAAAACTGTTTATTTTCCACAGCATTAACAATCCAATACATCAGCAATCTAAATATATATAATGAAGCTACAGAAACAGTGGAAAGAAGTATGGCAATTGTATGGGATTGAGAAAGTCCTCCTAAGCATGAGTCAAAATCTAAAGACAATAAAGGAAAAAAATCATTCAATTTAACTATATATAACACTATATGCTAAAATCACTAGAAGTAAGTCCATGTCAAAATAAATGACAACCTGAGATTAAAGATTTGCTGCTTATATTATGGACAAAAGACCACCTGTGCTAATATAAAAAGGTATTTTAGGAATCAAGAAGAAACAGACAACTGCCCCTGTAGTGAGCTTTCTCATGCTCTCTTGTTCCTCCTGACCTAACTGGAGGTACAGAAAGGACAAACGATAGACAGACACACATAAAGTTGGGATCAAGTGTGCTGGAGACACACAACAGCCTCATTGCTTCTTTTCTTCTCTATTCTTTAAGGCCTTACTCTTTTACAATTCTTTAACACCTTGCTCCTTTTCTATTCTTTAAAGTCTCTTTCTTTAGATTCACACTGACCCCTGTTTTCTCTTTAGCTTTCTTAAACTGTTGGCTGTCCCATGTTCTCTTTAATCTCT